GCTCGTACGTCCATGATGCTTGCGGCTGCCCCCCATTTTCTGTGGCCGTTTGCGGTTCGGTACGCGGCGCATCAGCTCAACCTTCACCCCAGGGTCTCTCGGCCCGCGATGTCCCCAGTGTTACTGTGGACGGGGAAGGTCGGCGATGCGTCTGCGTTCCGTGTCTGGGGATCTCGGGCGTTTGTCCGGGACTTGTCTGCGGACAAGCTGTCCCCCCGTGCTGCTCCCTGTGTCTTCCTTGGCTTCCCCCCTGACGCTCCAGGGTGGCAGTTCTACCACCCCTCCTCTCGTCGTGTTTTGTCCTCCCAGGACGTCACGTTCGACGAGTCAGTCCCCTTCTACCGCCTCTTCCCCTACCGTAATCCTTCCCTCCCCCCCCCACCGGACTTCCTGGTACCAGTTCCCCCCCCAGTAGACCCCCTCCCCCCTCAGGTTCCTGCCCCTTCAGGTGTGTCCCAGGTAGACACGGTCGAGCCAGTCGAGGTTGCTGCTGAGTCTAGTCCTGCTGCGGGTGCTGAGCTTGGGGGTGCTGCTGATGGGGGTGCTGAGCCTGGGGGTGCGAGGCCGGGGGGTGCTGAGTCTGGGGGTGCTGAGCCGGGGGGTGCTGAGCCGGAGGGTGCTACGTCAGGAGCTGCTGAGCCTGGGGGTGCTGGGCCTGGAGGTGCGGAGCCTGCGCCTGCTGGACCTGGGGGCTCTCCGGTTCTTCCGTCTCGGCGGGAGCCGCTCTCTCCACAGGAGCTGCGCGAGTGGTTTGCTCGCTGCTGGAGGCGTGCTGCTGGAGCTGGAGCTTCTTCGCCTGCTGAGGGTGCTGCCGGCCCCGGAGCTGCTGGGCCTGCGGGTCCTACTGGAGCTGGAGCTACTGAGTCTGGGGGTGCTGAGTCGGGAGCTGCTGAGCCTGGAGGTGCTGAGTCTGGAGCTGCTGAGCCTGGGGGTGCTACGTCTGGAGCTGCTGTGCCTGGGGGTACTGAGTTTGGAGCTGCTGAGCCTGGGGTTTCTCCTGCTGGTGCGTCTCGCCGGGAGCCCCTCTCTCCACAGGAGCTGCGCGAGTGGTTTGCTCGCCGCTGGAGGAGTGCTGCTGGAGCTGGAGCTTCGTCGACCGTCGAGGGTGCTGGTGCTGCCGGTCCCGGAGCTGCTGGGCCTGCGGGTCCTATTGGAGCTGGAGCTGCTGAGGGTGTTGGTGCTGAGACTACTGCTGTCTGTCCTGGCGGTGGTTCTGCTGCTGGTGCTGCTGGAGGTCCTGCCGCTGGAGGTGTTGGTGGCGCTGGTACTGTCGGTGAGGGTGCTGGTGCTGTCCCTGCTGAGTCTGGAGCTGCCGCGCGGCCTCGGCCGTACTTCGTTCCGCTCCTACAGCAGGTTCTTGGTCTTTCTCCTTCGGTAGAGTGTCCACAGCCTGTCCAGTCGCAGTCACTGTTGGAGCCTTCCTCTCCTCTGCCTGCTCCCTCTCCTTACACTGGTCCTACTGGAGGTCTTGCTGAGCGTCGTGAGCCTGCGTCTCGTCCCGCGTCGCCTGTTCGTGCTGCTCGCGCTAGTGGTCGCGGTTCGCGTCAGCGTCCTCCTCCTGTCCCTGGCACGCACCGGATGTCTCTGCGTCCGTCCACTGCTCCTCTGCGTGCCCCTTTGCCTTCTCCTCCTGAGTCCTCTCTTCCTGCGCTTGCCGACCCTGAGTCGGACTCTCTTCGCGCTGCCAGTCCTACTGTCACGCGTCTGCTTGCTACTGTCGTCACTGACCCCTCTTTTGAGTCCACTGCTGCGTCTGCTCTAGTCGCTGAGCTCGTTGACTTTGCTGCTCGCTGTCGTCTCGACTACGCTGCTAGTCTTGTTGCTGAGTCTGCGTCTGTCTGTCCTCCGTCCGTCGGGGGTGAGTGTGCTCTTGGCACGGACGTCCTAGAGGACAGGCAGGAGGAGTTACAGTGTCTAGCGGCTGCTTCACCTCATCTCGCGTCTGTACTGCTTGCTCCTGAGGGAGACCCGGATGCACTAGACATCCCGACTCCGCGTTCTTACGCGGAGGCCGTAGAGGGTCCCTACTCCTCTCAGTGGCAGGCAGCTATGGATGCAGAGATGGCTTCCTGGAAGTCCACAGGCACCTACGTTGACGCGGTTCCCCCTCCTGGGGCGAACATCGTCAGTGGCATGTGGATCTTCAGGGTGAAGCGGCCGCCGGGCTCTCCACCTGTCTTCAAGGCGCGGTACGTTGCTCGTGGCTTCAGTCAGCGGCAGGGAGTTGACTACTTTCAGACCTTCTCTCCCACCCCGAAGATGACCACTCTTCGGGTGCTGCTACACATAGCCGCTCAGCGCGACTACGAGCTTCACTCTCTCGACTTCAGCACTGCGTTCCTGCAGGGTAGCCTGCACGAGGAGATCTGGCTGCGCCGTCCACCTGGCTTCACTGGGACTTTCCCTCCTGGCACCCAGTGGAGCCTCCGACGGCCAGTCTACGGTGTCCGCCAGGCACCGCGTGAGTGGCACGACACACTGAGGACTACGCTTGCGGCTCTTGGGTTTGCTCCTTCTACTGCTGACCCGTCGCTGTTTCTGCGCACCGACACTTCACTGCCGCCGTTCTACATCCTCGTGTACGTCGACGACTTGGTCTTTGCCACAGCGGACACTGCTGGACTCGCCTACGTGAAGTCCGAACTGCTGAAGAGACACACGTGCACAGACCTGGGTGAACTGCGCAGCTACCTTGGCTTGCAGATCACTCGGGACAGAGCACGCCGCACCATTACCTTGACTCAGTCACACATGGTGCAGCAGGTCCTTCAGCGCTTCGGCTTCACGTATTCCTCGCCTCAGGCCACTCCTCTGCCTACTCGCCACTCACTCTGAGCTCTGCCTTCGGATGAGTCCGTAGAGTCGAGTGGTCCGTATGCAGAGCTTGTTGGCTGCCTCATGTACCTGATGACCTGCACTCGACCTGACCTTGCATACCCTCTAAGCATCCTTGCACGCTATGTTGCTCCTGGGAGACACCGACCAGAGCACATGGCTGCAGCGAAGAGGGTATTGCGCTACCTGTGCAGTACGTCGGGCATGGGGCTAGTGCTTGGAGGGCGGAGTCCAGTGGTCCTTACAGGCCACGCGGACGCTTCTTGGGCTGACGACCAGGCTACGCAGCGGTCGTCACAGGGTTACACCTTCAGCCTTGGTTCCGGCTCTGTCTCGTGGCGGTCTACTCGCTCGTCTTCGGTTCTCGGCTCCAGTTGTGAGGCTGAGATCTACGCCGGGGCCATGGCTGCACAGGAGCTTCGCTGGCTCACCTATCTGCTGACTGACCTTGGAGAGCCGCCTCGTTCTCCTCCAGTGCTGTACGTAGACAACAAGGCCATGCTGGCCTTGTGTCGAGAGCAGCGCTTGGAGCACAGAACGAAGCACATTGCTCTCCGCTACTTCCTTGCTCGTGAGCTGCAGCAGCGTGGTCAGTTGCGACTTGCGTACGTGGCCTCTGAGGCCAACACTGCTGATGTGTCCACCAAGGCACTCGCGCCTTGTGACCATCAGCGCTTTTGCACCCAGCTGGGTCTTGTGCCTGTCTTGCCTCACTTGCTCTCCTCTTGACTTCACTTGTACTGTGACATATATATATACCTGCTCTTGCCTGTCTAGTTTTATATATATATGTCTGTACTCCTGCATGTGAACTGGCCTCTGGCCCTGCTCTTGTGCTCGGACTGTGTGGTGACGTTGTGATCCACCCTGAGCTTGCTCTGCTTTGCTTTACCTGACTGGTCTTGTGACCCTTTGTTCTCCCCCACTTTGCCTATGGGGGTGTGTCAGATTTATATGACATAGTTTCTGTAGGCTATAGTGGGGTAGCACATATGGGGTACAGGGTTTCTAGGGTTGTATTTGTACCCAATCTTTCCTTAGTCAATTCATTCCTGTTCGCTTATTCTCACACGGGATGCGATGTGCGAAAATGGCGGGATGATGAATGATGCGATGGTCGCGACTGGTAACGGTGCTGACTGAGGTGCTATAGTGATGTACGCGTTGAGCAGGGATGTGAAGTAAGGAAAAGGGAATTTCCTTACACTTCCATGCAGCTTAATTTGTACACTGAGTTGTAGGGAAAGGTGATGTTGGGATTGGGATGTTTTGGTGGACAGGATAAAGATTCAATATGCAATGTGTCAATTAGGTCGTTCAAGTATGCCCTGCAATAACGGGAAACGGAGCTCCCAATGTTCACCCCTGGGATTCTCCCACGAGCCCGCATTCATGGACTCCACATCATTCCAGCTCCGCTTCACAGATCAGTTACTGTCTCCTCCCAGCATTCTAGTAACCATCTATCTACAAATCGCCTATTCATGGTAGCTTCCGCCTTGTGCCTCGTGTAACGTGCCCTCCGCTGCACGCGGCGTTTATACATCGAACAGCATTACGAAGCCAGCAAAGCATGATCTCGGTGAAGCCAAGTGTCCAGTGCTCCATTCCGTACCCTCACCCGAAACGTCAATATGACGCTCTTAGCGGAAAACACGGAGTCAGCCTGAGCTGGTCAGCCAGCCTCAATCCGTTTCCGAGTCGGCAGGCTTTAAGAAATGATTCAGACGGTCTCAACTGGTCAAAATCTCGCGTTCAAGCTGCCGCGCGCACTGGCAAGAGCGGTCGGGTCGGCACGCGAACCAGCGGCGGGAAACGGAGCGGAAGGGTGGCAACGAAGCCCGCGCAGCAGCCCCCGTCCGCACGGCGTGCCCGTCGACCCATCCGCGTTCCGCTGCCGTCCTCTGGCCAGCTGAACCCCCCCGAATGGGCTCAACAGGTGCGCTGCTGCGCATTAACCATGCGGTGACCATCCCTAGCGTTGGTGCAGTTTCGAGCCGTCTCGTAATCTCATGACAATGCAGCTGCAGCTGCAGCCGTCTCGTAATCTCATGGTTGCCACGAGTCAATTTCCCGTGTAATACGGGGGCCCGTCGCTCTCAGCGAGAATAGGTCACTCCCCCGCTCCCGCTACAATAATCCAGTTTTTAAGAAGTTTTTAGGAAATGCTGGAATGGAGTGTCCCTCCTATCCCTCCCGTTAGAGCATCCGCCTTGTGCGGGGTAGGGAGTGCACTACTGCGTTCTTGAGTCGACTCAAACTTTACAACGTCCCTTCCCTTCTCCACTCCTCTCCCCTCCCCTCCCCTCTCTCTCTCTCTCTCCAACCACCCAGGCCATAGAGCAGCAGCCATGGAGGGGGGGATTGGAGCCATATGGGGAGCACGACTACACGCTCTCCCCCTCCAACCCCGCGCACGTCATCGGGACGATACCAGAGGCGCTGCAGGGCACGCTGTACCGCTGTGGGCCGGGGCGGATTCGCGTGTGCCGGGGGGAGGGACTGGAGCCGTGTGGGGAGCACGACTACACCCTCTTGAGTCACCGCAAATGTCACATCTCCCTCCCCTCCCTGACTCTTCTCTCTCCCACGTCTCAGGCCATAGAGCAGCAGCCATGGAGGGGGGGGTTGGAGCCGTGTGGGGAGCACGACTACACACTCTCCCCCTCCAACCCCGCGCACATCACCGGGAGGATACCAGAGGCGCTGCAGGGCACGCTGTACCGCTGTGGACCGGGGCGGATTCGTGTGGGCGGGACCAAGTTCGGTCACTGGTTCGATGGCGATGGCATGGTGAGTGAGTGGAGTGAGTGTGCGAGAGAAGGGTAAGCATTGCATTGTGAGAGGCGCTGCAGATGGCATGTCGAGTCTGTAGTGTAGAGTGTGCAATGTGGGGATGACATGGGGAGCAAGCATGCTCGTGGTGTGGGGTTGACATGACAAAGCAAGTGAGTTGAAATGCGAGCACTGTTGAACCTCAGTCATTTGATTCACTCCCACACTCTCTCATCTCCCAAGTCCTCATTCCCCTCACACACCCCCCCCCCCGTCGTTTCCGTGCCGTCTCCTCTCCCAATTACCTGTCCCTCGCATCCCAGGTCTACGCCTTGCATCTGGACGGCCCAAACGGTACAGCAAGGTTTGTCTGCAAGTGGGTGCGCACATCAGCCCTGGAGCAGCGGGGAGGACCAGAGTTGGAAGCAGGGGAGGGGAAGGGGGAGGACACGGGGATACGCGTGAAGGGTGCGTGGACACAGGCCACTGCTGGAGGACTGCTCAAGAACGTTGGGCTGCCTGCTAACCCCGTCAACACCAGGTGAGGTGCCAGTTAACCAGAGGCAGCAGGGAGGGGAAGGGGAAGGGGAAGGGGAAGGACACGGGGATACACGTGAAGGGTGCGTGGACAAAGGCCACTGGTGGGGGACCTCTCAAGAACGTTGGGCTGCCAGCTAACCCCGTCAACACCAGGTGAGGTGCCAGTTAACCAGAGGCAGCAGGGAGGGGAAGGGGAAGAGCACGGGGATACGCGTGAAGGGTGCGTGGACACAGGCCACAGGTGGAGGGCCGCTCAAGAATGTTGGGCTGCCTGCTAACCCCGTCAACACCAGGTGAGGTGGTGAGAGGATACAATGATAAGATGTTGGGAGGGTGAGTTGTTCCTCGCAAGTTTCTTCCCCCCTCCCACAGCCCTCGCTTTGGGTCGACGCAAAACCACCCCACCCGAGCGGCCTCCTTGCCCCTCCCCACCAGCACCATCCACTTGGCAGGCAGGCTGCTAACTCTACACGAAGGTGGGCCACCATTCCTCCTCGACTCCACCACCCACTCCCCCTGTCACCCTCTCTCGCTTTCCTCTGCTCCCACCCATCCCCCCACCAGCATCACCCACTTTGCAGGCAAGCTGCTGGCTCTGTGTGTGAGGGCGCCTCGCCATTCCTCCACAAGTCCACCCACTCCCCCCTTTGTCCACACCCTCCATCCACCTCCCCCATTCCCCCCCACCAGCATCATCCACTCCACTTTGCAGGAAAGCTGCTGGCGCTGTGTGAGGGCGGCCCGCCATTCCTCCTGAACCCACTCCTGCTGTCTCTCTCCCCCGCTTACCTCTCCTCCCACCCCCCCACCAGCATCATCCACTTTGCAGGAAAGCTGCTGGCTCTGTGTGAGGGCGGCCCACCATTCCTCCTGGACGCACAGTCACTGAGCACAGTCGGCCCCTACTCCTTCCCCAACCTCGCTCTGCCCTTCTTCTCCGCCCACCCCAAGCTCGACCCCGCCACTGGAGGTGAGCCCCGGCTTGTTGCAAGCTGCGGTTTTTAAGATTTCTCACAGACCACCCTCCAATCCAACGAGCTGCGGAGCGCGTGAGCAGTGTGGATACGATATGGCCCTTCTCCTTCCCCAACCTGGCTCTGCCCTTCTTCTGCGCCCATCCCAAGCTCGACCCTGCCAGTGGAGGTGAGCGGGAAGCAGGCGAGCAAGCAGTTGGATTTGGAGGGTGGGGTGAGGGCTGTGGCACATAGATCTCCGACTCCGAGCAAAATCCGTTTTGTTTTGGACTTCTCAAAAAATACATGATTTGGAGGGTGGGGTGAGAGCTGTTTTGTTTTAGAATTCTCGAGAAAAACATGATTTGGAGGGTTGTGGCACATAGATCTTCGAATCCGAGCAGCGTTCAGCGACTCTCCTTCCCCGACCTGCCTTTCTTCTCTGCGCATCCCAACCCCCACCTCTCCCCAACCATCCCCCCTGACCTGCCCGCCTCGGCTCTACCTCCTCCCTCTCCACAACCACAGCTGTACAGTGTGCCCACTCCCCAATTCCCCCTCTCTCGCACATCCCTCCACCAGAGCTGTACAACTTTGGCAGTGTGCTGTTCGGCATGCAGCCATTCGCCCTCTTCTTCTCTGCTCATCCCAGCCCCCGCCTGACCCATGCCAAACCACCCACCCCCACCCCACCCCCACCCCCCGCATCCACCCACCCCGCCCTCTCTCCCCACCAGAGCTGTACAACTTCGGCAGTGTGCTGTTCGGCATGCAGCCATTCGCCATCGCAGCGGACGGGCAGCACACACGCATGGGCGCACTGCAGGGCTCGCCAGAGGTGGCACTCGTGCTTCCCACCCGCCCCCAATCCCATCCCCCTTCTCCCTTCCAAAACTGTCCCAACTCCCGTTCTGCCCCCACCGCTGCTTGTCCCCGCACACCTCCCGCACCTGTCCTCTCTTCCTGCCCGCCTTCCCCACGCCACACTCCACCAGAGCTGTACAACTTCGGCAGTGTGCTGTTCGGCATGCAGCCTTTCGCCATCGCAGCAGACAGGCAGCACACGCGCATGGGCGCGCTGCAGGGCTCGCCAGAGGTTGCTCTCGTGCACGACTGCGCCATGTCGTCCCGCTTCCTCGTCTTCACCATCCCTCCTTACGCCGCCTCTGCTGGAGACGTTGCTCAGGTGCGCGCTTCTTGCCCTATATTGCCCTCTGCTCTGCTCTGACCTCTCTCTGCACTCCTCTGCACTCCTCTGCCCTCCACTGCTCTCCTCTGTTCCATGTAGTCTTGTACACCTTTCAGTTACCCGTTCCCTTTAAAAGTTTTGTTACCTGCTGATGCGTTACTCACCCGCAGCCCATACAGCTGTTTCTGCTGCACTCTCTCCAAGCCTACTCAGCCCGATTTGTTGTTACGTCTGTGACGCAAACATCACATGGGAGTCTTGTGACGTCTCTGAACCGAACATTAGTGGGGTGGCCCGGGGGGGGGGGGGGGGGTCACCATACTCGTTATAAGTCCTTCCCTTCCCTACACCCTCCTCATGCCCTATCGCATGCAGATGCCAGCAGGGCAGCAGTCGCTGGGCAACAGGCTCACGTACGACGAGTCTCCGTGCATCCCAACAATCCACCATCCCACCATACTCGTTTTCTTTTATCTTTCCATGTGCCCCCCTTCTTCCCTATCCCAATCACGTGCAGATGCTAGCAGGGAAGGGAAGCAGTCGCTGGGCAACAGGTTCACGTACGACGAGGCTCCGTGCATCTCAACACAACAACATCCCACCATATTTGCCTTCTTTCGTTTTCCATGTGCCCTCTTCGTCCCTTGTCCCCTGCAGATGCTAGCAGGGAAGCAGTCATTGGGCAACAGGTTCACATACGACGAGTCAAAGCCCACTCGAGTGGTGGTGGTGGGAAAGGAGAGCCTGTCCGTGGAGGTGCAGATGGACGTGTGGCCGCCCTTCTCCAACTACCACTTCTGCAACGCTTATGAGGATGGGGACAAGTTGCATGTGCTCTTGACTGTCCTTGTGAGTAGTCTGGCTTCACGTCCCAACTCATCAAAGGCCACGTCGGAGCACCTCTGAGATGCACAGAAAAACAGTGGCCTTCATCTCCTCTGAGATGCACAGAAAAACAGTGGCCTTCATCTCCTCTGAGATGCACTGATTGAGCGCCTCTCTGCGTTGTTTTGCTCAGCCGCCCCTTGCCTGCCTTAACATTGCCCATTTCTTGTTGCTGGTTCCCCTTCCCACCAGGACGGCCCACGGGATGGGTTGGAGGGAGTTTTCAAGGACATGTATGGAGAATCATGGCAGCGCAACAACCAATGCTCTGTCTGGGAGCTTGTCATTGACACCAACACCTGGGACCTTCTCTCCCGCCGCCGAGCCATGCACTCCGAACCTGGCACGCGAGGTCCAGTGCTAGGCATGGAGTTTGCCGTGGTTAACCCTGCTTTTACCAGCAGGAAGAGCAGGTATTTGTATGTGCTGGGGTCCATGCCTGAGAGGGATAGGGAGGAGCTGTGGAGCAACGGCGGCTTGGGAGATGGCGTGTGGTATGGAGGAGCAGGAGTGAAGGGCGAGGAGGATGGGGAGGGGGAGGAGGAAGCGGAGGGAGAGGAAGGGGAGGAGGGGAGGGAGGAAGAGGGTGGGGAGGAGGAAGGGAAGAAGATGGCTGAGTATGGGTACTTGAACTGTATTCAGAAGTACGATCTGAAGACGAAGCAAGTAACCACTCACGTCACACCACCTGGCTGCTACGTCAACGAGTGCAGCTTCATTCCGAACAGTGGCACTGATAACGAGGACGCCAGTAAGGAGGACGAGGGGTATCTGGCTGCATTTGTGTATGATGCAGCGCGGCACAGGTCGCATGTGGTGGTGCTGGACGCGAGAGATGTGGCAGCAGCCCCAGTGGCAGTGGTGCATTTACAGTCACATGTGCCATTCCATTTCCATGGCACCTGGGCTGGCAAGGCTACCATGCTGTGATGCATCATGGCACGGGTCGCATGTGCTGTGGTGCTGCTGGGATGCTAAGCATGTGGCCACGCCTCCAGTGGCAGTGGTGCATCTGCAATCACATGTGCCATACCATTTCCATGGTACATGGGCTGCCAAGGCTGCTGTTCATTAAAGTGACTAGTAAGCCATGGCACTACTGTGTCTGTAATGGCAGGCACTAGTCACTCACTGTGTCTGTAACGCATCTGCACTCACAGTGTGCTGCCATTCCCAGCCAAAGCCACCGCCGTGCATCAGGGAGGGCTTTGATTCGCCTGTATAAGCCTGCACTCACATGTGCCTGTATCGTATCGTAGGGTTGTTGTGGCACTAGATAAGGCTGCAGGCTGCTGGCACCAATATCCAACTGCTCAGTCAATGCCATAGTTGCTATCACCCCTTCCAAGGTTTTGTTCTTGGATGTCACGCAGCCATACGTACAGTGGTTGAGGCACTATTACCCCTTCCAAGGCTGAGGCACAGCTGTTGAGCTACACTCACCAGCCACTATTCCTAATCAGTCAACCCTGCTAGAGGCACGAATTTCTCATAATACAGCGCACAGTATCACAGTTGAGGTACTATCTTATTCCATGTATAGCTGGGCAGGATTTCAACTCGCCTCTTAAGTCATTCCACCAAGGGCTAGGTAGGCAGGTGCAGAAGGACACGGCAGTGCGTGCCAGCAAACAAAAAATTTGAGGGGAGATGTGAAGCTGGTACAGCAGCAGAAAGGAGGTGGGTGGCGTGTGACCGCAACACCTGAGAGGCCAGAATGGGTTCACAAGCCTTCCACTCCAATTCCCAAGGTGCCTTCCTTTCCCCCAAGATGCTACTGCCAAGTGTACTGTAGCCTTCAAATTCCACACCTCCCAATTTCACACCTCCCACCTCCCCCTCCCAGCTGCCTGCCAGCAGCCACGTTCCAGGTGCAGTGGGGTGGGGGCGGCTTAGTGGGTAGGAACTCATTCAATGTTGGCCTTTTTCCGCAGGTGGTTCTTAAAGCCCACGATGTCGCCCTCCCACCGCGTCAACGTGCGGTTCTCACACACCCAGATCTCCTTTGCCACCTGCCACAGCACAGCACAGCACAGCGCAGCACAGCACAGCACAGCACAGCACCGCACAGCACCACACCCCATACACACAGATGCGTAAAAAGCGAGTCAGCACACATCACAGCGTCAACTAAATAGACCTGGTAAAAAAGGATTGACGCCCATCCTTGCCAACTAAAAATTTCCTAGTCCTCTGCTCTCGTCCCCATCCTCACCTGGTTAATAAGTCTGAAGTCGTGAGAAACCAGCACCATGCCGCCGTCCCACTCATTCAGTGCCTCAGCCAGCGAGTCGATCGTCTCAATATCCAGATGGTTGGTGGGCTCGTCCAGCAGCAGCATCTGCGGCTGCCGCCATGCCAGCCACGCAAACAGAATCCGCGACCGCTGCCCGTCCGAAAGATTCTTCATCGGCATGATCTGGCATTTCCCGGTCAGCCCGAATCTTCCGATGGCTGCCCGCATCTTCTCCTCCTCCAATCCGGGGTATTCGGACATCATCCATGCGAGCGCACTCTTCTCCAGGTCTAGTTTCTCGCCCAGATGCTGTGAGGAGTAGGGGAGGGGCGAACGGAAGCAAAGCAACAAGCAGCACAATTACTTTGGTAAGGGAAGGGAAGGGAAGGGGGCCAAGAAGGGGTGGTGGTGGGTGAAACAACAGGGCGTGTGAGGGTGTGTGGATGAGTGCATGTGAATGTGCAGGTTCGTGTATAAGTGTGAGGTTCTGTGTGTGTGTGTGTGTGTAGGTGTGCGTGTGATAGAGGTGTACGTGTGTGTGTATGTGTATGTGGGTGTGAATGTCTGTGGAAGTGTGAATATGTGTACAAATGTGGGGGTGTGGATGTGTGTGGGTGTGAAGTGTGCATGGTACTTCACAGGTGCTGGCACTGCCATCTCCAGATTTCATCACCCAATCCCTCACTGTGTTCCACTGATGTTGCATGGGTCGCGTGGGGAGACCTGCCCTGTGTTTTGCAACATTCCCCCACCCTCACACCCATCCACACCCATCCACACCCATCCATACCCATCCGCACCCATCCGCACCCACCCACCTGGTGGTCCTGTCCAATCCGGAGGTGGTTATGCTGCTTCACCGCGCCCTCCGTGGGCTGCAATGTGTGCACATACAGACACCGAATCACCCACACCCACACCCACCCACACCCAAGCACCCCCATCCAAACCCACCTGATGATACTGCCCAATCCGAAGGTGGTTATGCCGCTTCACCGCGCCCTCCGTGGGCTGCAAATCGCCCGTCATCAGCTTCAGCAGCGTCGATTTCCCCGCGCCGTTCGGCCCCACCAGCGCAATCCGCGAGTCCAGATCCACACCGAAATCCACCTTCTCATAAATCACATGCTCCGGATCGTACGCAAACGAAACTTCCGAAAACTGCAGCACGGGAGGAGGAAGCTTCCCGACATCCGTAAACCTAAACGTCAGCACGTTATCCCTCTGAACTTTTTCCGTCAGCCCGCCGCGCTCCATCTTCGCCAGGGTTTTCTCCTTGCTCTGCGCCTGCCGAGCCAGCTTCGCCGAACCGTGCCCGAACCTAGCGATATACTCCTTCATATTCGCAATCTGCTCTTGCTCCCACTTCCACTGCTTCATCTGGTTCTCCTCCTGCTCTTTGCGCGTCTGCACGTACGAGTCGTAGTTCCCGGTGTAGAATTTCAGCTTCTTGTTCTGCATGTGGATGATGTTGGTGCACACGCCGTTGAGAAAGTCCTGCGAGTGCGACACCACCACCAGAATGCGGTCGAACTTCTTCAAAGTATCTTCCAGCCACACGCACGCCTCCAGATCTGCACACGCACACCGGGAGGAGGGTAGGGAGGTTCGGGTAAGTCAGACGAGAGTCACTCAAAGGGAGTGTGAGACTGCGACACCACCACCAGAATGCGGTCGAACTTCTTCAAAGTATCTTCCAGCCACACGCACGCCTCCAGATCTGCGGGTATGGGGAATGAGAGGGAGAGGAACAAGTGAAAGGGGAGGGCGGAGGGAGAAAGGGGTGAGTGAGACACAGAGGCTGAGAGCGAGTGCGACACCACCACAGCTCCACCAGAATGCGATCGAGCTTCTTTAGCGTGCCCTCCAGCCACACGCACGCCTCCAGATCTGCAGGCAAGGCACGGAGGCCAAGAATTGGGAGAGAGGAGCAGGGGGGTTGGGGTGAGGGAGACGAGAGTGATAGAGAGTGGGAGCAACACCGCGACACAACCACCAGAATGCGGTCGGACTTGTTCAGCGTGTTCTCCAGCCACACGCACGCCTCCAGATCTGCGCGTGGGGAATGGGAAAGGAAGGGGGCGCGAAGTGGGCAGGATCGGATGAGAGAGGCATGAACGAAGCAGGCTGGAGTTCCTCGAAGTCAATGGTTGATAAAAAAGAGGGACGGATCGAGCCGGAGAGGGGTTGGGGGGAGGGTTTGGGGGGGCAGAAGATGAAACACACGTGCGGTCTCTCTTACGTGATGAGTTGTGCTGTTGAGGACTTGAGAGACTAAAACAGTATAGCTACCAGTACACTCCCCGGGCCTAGTTGCTCGGTACATTCTCCGCGCATCGTATCTATACTGTTGGCACGTTCTCCGCCTCTCAATGTTGACATGCTTTCCACACTCGAATGGTTCGTCAGCCTGCCGTACGTAGCTTTCTAGTTCGTCAGCCTGCCGTACGTAGCTTTCTAGTTCGTCAGCCTGCCGTACGTACCTATCCGGTTCGTCAGCCTGCCGTACGTACCTAGATGGTTGGTGGGTTCGTCCAGCAGCAGCACGGTGGGCTGCATGAACAGCGCGCGCGCGAGCGCGATGCGCATGCGCCAGCCACCGGAGAAGTCGCGCGTCTTCTTCTGCTGCATCTGCTTCGTGAAGCCCAGCCCGTGCAGGATCTGCGCCGCGCGCACCTCCGCCGTCGCCGAGTCCATGGCGTCCAGCCGCTCGTAGATGCGCTCCAGCTGATCCGCCGCGCCTTCCTGGAAAAAGGGGAAGGGGACGACGGGGATGACGAACGAAAAGGTGGGTGTGAAACTTGAGATGGTTCCATATTTCCCCACACTCAAGCAGAGTCCATCGCGTCCAGCCGGTCGTAGATGCGCTCCAGCTGATCCGCCGCGCCCTTTTGAAATACGGAAGAAAATGAGGGGAGGAAGAACGGGAAGGTGATTCATAAGCTTGAAACCCCTCGATATCGAGCAGAAATTACGCATGTACAAACCCCGCCCGCCTCTTTCTCATGCTTAAACCGATCCTCAACGACGCCCGCCTGCAGAGGGTTACCACATAACCAGACCCACCACCCACTTCCCCTTCACATCCACGTACCATTTCCGCGAGCTCCTCCGCCTCTCACAAGCTTCAAAAGCTCCTCGTCGACGCAGATGACGGGCCTCGCGGGTTACAAAGTAACAACATCAGCCAGTACCTCCCCACTATACCCACGTACCACTTCCGCGAGCTCCTCCGCCTCCTTCTCGAGCTTGAGGCGCTCCTCGTCGACGCAGATGACGGCCTGCAGCGCGGACATGTCGGTGGCCTCGATCTCGTGCGAGAGGAAGTAGATGTCCATGTGGTCCTGCACCGGCACCTCGCGGTTCCCGATCGCCTTCAGCAGCGTCGACTTGCCGCACCCGTTCAGCCCCAGCAGCCCGTACCGCCTGCGCGCCGGGAAGGAAAGGCCGGAAAGCCGTGCAAGGTGAGGCAAAAAAATTAGCCATGAAAAAGAAGGGGGTAGTTGACGAAAAGTGACTGCTTGGTGACCCACGAAGGGGAAGTGTCGATTATGATGGGTGATGGAGATGTGGATAGGCGAGGACGAGATGTGACGGGCGGCTTACCTTCCATAATTGAGCTCGAGAGTTGTGTCTGCGACAAGCTCGTGTCCGTGGAAGTTGAGCGAGAATCCAACGACCTGCTCAGCCAAGTTTCAAGAAAGGTGAGGCAAGAACGAGACGCGCGTACACACGCTTGAGGGTAAACGACAAGGAAACGAACAATCTATGGCAGGGAGGTGAACGGGTTACCACTCACATGTATATCTCGTGAGAGAGCGTGCGAGGCGAGAACTCCCGTGCAACTTCTGTCGTGATCGTCGAGGGACTTGAGATCATTCTGCGAGTTGCTCGCGCTGACGGAAGGAGATTTGCCCTTGGCGGCTTTCTTCGCGGCCGCAGCGGCTTTCTTCGCCGCAGCTCTCTCCTTCTTGGCGTCAGACGGCGCCATGATGACTTCTCTCCCTTGGAACACACGAAGCAAACTTGCTTAAAGGCAGACAAGAGCAACGACGCAGCTCTCAGATGAATATACGAACTTCTAAAGCAGGGATCTGTTGCACTGGCCGAAGCGACTCCAACTCACAGAAGGTATGGATCAGAGATTGGTGATCCAAGATCGGGAGATCGGAGAAAGGGAATACACGTTAGTCTGCTGAGGTTGTTTATACACATCTGCTGCTTGCTGGTAGGCCTTTTTCCAAGAGTGAGGAAAATCTGCCTGCGCATGGCTGTGGGTGAGCGAGAGGGTGGTTGGGTGGAGAAACGCAGCGGGTCAAACAAACTCGCTGCAACAGCTGGTCAAGCGGTGCATTGGGTGTTGTTTTCACCAAATCCCGTGTGATGGATCCACCAATGGCGTGCATCCTGAAGGTTGACTTGTGGTGGTTTCGGGCCTGCCGAGTGGGTTCGGGCAGCTGGCTGCCCCGCAGAAGCTCAAGGGCCACTGACAACGCGCCGCCAAAACATTCTTGTTGTGGAGAGTCTCTTCCTGGGATGTGGGTGGTAAAGGGCCTGAAACGAATCCACGTGTCAGGCCCCGATACCCTTTTTGGCGGGGGCTGTCGCATGCTGCTGACATGGAAAAGATGCTCGTAAAATATGACACATAAAACGGTAAAACGTAAACCGACTTCGACCTCGTTACTGTCAGCTCCTTCGAATCTCTCAATAGCGAGTCCGTAATGGTGGCTTACCACTCCAGTAATATGAATATCTTATGTAGTGTAGCTAATGAATAATTATCAACATTTGCGACGATACTGTTTGCCTTCCCCTTCCTCCAGTTCCCCCTCTTCCTTCCATCTTTCTCCCAGTCCTGCCTTCTCTCCCTCCCTCTTTTCGCTCGCCTTCTTTCCCGCGACCAACTAGCCCTAATCTCGCGTGCCTTAGTATCCTAATCCGCAGCCATGGCCAGCGAGCTCGCCTGCACATACGCTGCCCTTATCCTTCACGATGATGGCATTCCCATCACGGTGAGCACTTGTGATTTTTGCCGCACGAATACTGCGGTGCCGATGCTTCCCTTCTCACCAGGTTCCCCGCATGCGACGCTTTGGAACGATCTCCAAGTAGAATGTCCAAGTAGGTCACAGGCGAGGAACGCAACTGTGTAGAAAAGCGAAGTTGATCAGGGAAGTGTCATGCTGTGTTTGCAGCTTGAGGAACTGCCACTGCTGCTAGCTTTGCTACTTCTGACGGTTGCTTAGCTTGGCGATGCTTAAATTCAGTCCATCAAGTATTGTAGAGTCCCTCGCGCGTTAATGATCGTGGACGAACGCTGCAGTAATCGGCGGGACAGGTCTGTCTCATTAGGTTAACCATTATGATAGTCGTTAGGGTCTTCAACATCTGCCGGATTCTTAGCTCCTCGGTCTGGCGGTAAGATGGTTGCTTACTAAGTCAAGGGCGAGTCTGGTAGTAGTTCGGGCTTGAGTGATTGGACCGAGGGGTTTGGTCCTTTCATGGGTGATTTATGCGGGACTAGCCCTCTGTTCCTGTCGTAAGTGATTTGTCTCGATCCCATTTTCATTCCCACATGACAGGCCGACAAGATCGCGACGTTGGTGAAGGCCGCGAACGTGAACGTGGAGGCTTACTGGCCCACGCTCTTCGCCAAGCTGCTCGAGAAGCGCAGCGTTGAAGACCTCGTCTCAAACATCGGATCAGGTACGGTGCAATTTGGTCACATGCGGCACAGTGCAGTGTGGTCACATGCGGTGTGATCGTATCAGGCGGTTTGTAGCTTGCAAACCAGGTAGTCCTTGGCATGGTGCGTCAGGTATTCGTAGTTGCTGACGGCGGTGAATCTGCAATCATATGGGCGCCCTTTATCAATTGCACTTTAAAGTTTCCTTCCCCAAAAGGTTTTGGAACTGTACAGCACAGAAGCAGTTGCTACCGTAGATGTTTTGGATAGCTTCTGGAGGCTGTATGAAACATGCTGGTAGGGAGGAGGATTGGCGAAGGCTTGTTAGCAAACCTGACGCATTCGCATATGCCGTTCGTTCAGCTGGAGTGAAGCTGGGATTTTTGAATTCACTGTCTTGATACCCTGTCGTCAGCTGGTCTACTCATTTACTCATCGTTCTTTTATTCGCCTGTTCTCCCTCTTATCCAGGTGGCGGCGGTGCCGTTGCCGCTCCTGCTGCTGCGGGCGGTGCTGCTGCACCAGCAGCTGAGGAGAAGAAGGAGGAGAAGAAGGAGGTGAGCATTCGTGATTCTGGCTCTTCGTTTTTAAATACCCCGGAAGGGTCTGTGGATAGCTCGTGCCAAAATAGTGCTTTGTTGTGTTGGCCTCAAGATGTCGTTGATCTGATGGTTCGTATTCGCTTACTATGATCTCTCCGTCACACCCACCTTCCCTGAACGCCTTCTGGATGCAACAGGAGGAGAAGGAGGAGAGCGATGACGACATGGGCTTCAGCTTGTTCGACTGAGCACCAAATACCATCTCTTCTCAGATCCCAGCCTTCACCTCCATTTTGACAGCTGTGATGCTTTCTAGGGCCGCTCAGCCTCCCTTTGTCTTAGCAAGGTCTTCCACTATGTATCACATGCTATCAAATGATGGTTCTTGTTGCTGCTGGCGCTGGTCTGCCTCCAGTGTTGTGCAATGGTAGAATTTTATTAACTTACACGTCACGGTTCGTAAAATAAGGAATATGAGAGTGGAAAGAATGAATACCAAGAGTGTTCTTGAGTCAGAGAGTGGAGCTGCAGTGTACACAGCACCAGTAACCTACGATTTGTTCTGCTTTCCTTCATATTTATTGGAAACTACTCGATTTTGTCCGTCCTCCTCAGGCGGATGAAACCAAGGTGGCTGACATGTGTCGCACACGCATGTCACGCGTACGGACTCGTGAAACATGTCGCCCGCAACTGTATCTGTTCGCATCTTGTCGCAACGCATCCGTGCAAGCACAATCAAGCTACTGCTTCTGTTTCCCTCCCTATCTGTCATTTCTCCAACCTCTTCACTGCCGTTTTACCCTGCTGCCATTTCCGCTAAGCGGGTAGCTCGCAACGGTACTGTCCTCGAGCCTAAGCCGAGGCAGGGTGAAGCACGTTTGAGCGAGCAGGTCGAGGTTGGGTCATGCGCTGCTGCTGGTTCCTAGTGCAGTAGAAACGATGTTCGCTGCAATGCTGTTGGTGCCTTGAGCCGTGAAAGGGATGCTTGTTTTTTAATTATGTTTTTATGATATGGCTCTCGACGAATTCTCCAATGCCGAGGCAGCATCCGCGAGCTTGAGCTTTAGGTTAGAATGGACGATCACCCTGGCATTTCTAAGACCTAAGTAGACTCCTAGTCGACTCAGAGACACGTCAGTTCCACCCTGGCGCTCCGGAATCTTGTCGACTTGTTTATTTGCCATTAGTACCTGTGCCTTGGCTACGTGGTGGAGCTATATCTGGGATGATTATTCTGTGACACGGTTAGCAGCCGAATGCAGCAGAGGAGATACCCTAGGTGAAGGTTACTTGTTTACCTCTCGCGATTACAAACGCAACGGCTTGTGAATCAGGGTGCTGCGTGCATGAAGAGTGATATCGGTCACTTGTTAGCATCGTGAGGCAGCTCGCACATTGAAGTGGGCTGCTTCGTGCGATTGATTGCGACTGAGACGACTGACCGCGACGAATAAAAGCTTTTGGGATTCCTTTACGTCACAAACACTAGTGGAGCTAGCTGTCTGCGTTGACCGAAAGCTTTGACTCTAAGGACCTACCTTTTATCCCACTTCGCGTCGTATCCCGCTTCGCTCTTAATTAAGCACGATGTCTCGCCAACCGTCGCCAATGCGGGCTCCGCGCACAAGAATCTTGAACGAAAAATACGTGAGTGGCGCTACCTGCTCCTAGTTTACCCTCCTTCGCTCGCAAAGTTCAAGTTTTATTCTCTGTTGTTAAAGGGATACATCATGCCTACTGCAGGACAAGTATTCAGCTCACATGTTATCGACCTCTTATTTGGATTGCATATTCGCTACCGTTTTCGCCTACTTTTTTCTTCACCTATCTTGATAAAATCTGCTGTTTCTCTTCACATAAGGTATTCGCGCACATGTCCGTGTGCGTGTGCATGTTCATGCGGGTGTGTGCCTGCATGCGTGTGTGCGTGTGCGCGCAGCTGCTGGGAGAGGAGTTGGGAAAGGGCGCGAACGGGCGAGTGTTCAAGGCGCTGGACCTGCAGAACGGCGACTTCGTGGCCGTCAAGGAGGTGTCCCTCGAGAACATCGACCAGGACGACCTCGCCTCTGTCATGGTGGGCTGCCGGGGGTGTGCTAGAAGGGGTGGGCTGCCGGGGGTGTGCTAGAAGGGGTGGGCTGCCGGGGGTGTGCTAGAAGGGGTGGGCTGCCGGGGGTGTGCTAGAAGGGGTGGGCTGCCGGGGGTGTGCTGGAAGGGGTGGGCTGCCGGGGGTGTGCTAGAAGGGGTGGGCTGCCGGGGGTGTGCTGGAAGGGGTGGGCTGCCGGGGGTGTGCTAGAAGGGGTGGGCTGCCGGGGTTGGGCTGGAAGGGGTGGTCTGCCGGGGGTGCATGTTTGTAGTTGGAAAGACAGAGTGTGGTCAAGGAGGTGTCCCTCGAGAGGATCGACCAGGACGACCTCGCGTCTTTCATGGTGGGCTGCCAGGACTGCATGTGTGTGGCTGGAGGGACAGACAGATTGTGTGTGGGTGGGTTACTGTAAGGATGTGTGGTCAATTCAGAGAGGGAAATCGGTGGAACACATCGACCAGGTCAACCTCACCTCACGTCCGTCGTGGTGGGCTGCTAGGAGTGGGCTGAGCTGAGAGAGATGCATGGGACGCATTGGTGTGTGTGGCGCAAGCTGTTGTGTATAGGAAAAACCACGGCAGTTGCCGTGATTGTGCCGCGATCACCCTGCTGCAATAACGTTATTGTGAGAATCGTGTCAAGTTAACCCTACCACATGCGTCGTACACAATCTTTAGTCTTTTCCTGACTTCTTCGTTTCCTGCCTTACCCTTTTCCCCTGCCTCCCCTTCGTGTGACCATGTGCTCTCGGACTGTGGTTTGTGGTGGCTGGCGTATGCTCTTGTCATTTGCAATGCATTTACGGCAGCAAGAAATTGATCTACTCAAGGTGAGCTGTTTTCCACTCTGTCGTGCTCGCTAGACTGTGCTGGACCATGCTGGACTGTGCTGGACCATGCTGGACTGAGCTGTACCGTGCTGTAGACGTTCAACCACAAGAATATAGTCTAGTACCTGGGCTCCATCAAGACCAAGTCGCTGGCGTTTGAATATTTCCTACCATCAAGTGTTCCTGTTATCCCCGCCCCCCTTTTCCCCCTCCCTCTCCCCCCTTCCCTACAGACATTCAACCACAAGAACATAGTCAAGTATCTGGGCTCCATCAAGACTAAGACCCACCTCTTCATCCTCCTTGAGTATGCCTGCCTGCCTGCCTGCCTGCCCGCCTGCCTGCCGGCCTACCTGCCTCCTGCCACGTCACCCATCCTTCCAGCTGCTTCGCCTCCCCATCCTGTTTTCCGCTGCATGCTGTGCCCTTAGATTGCATGCTCTGCTTCGTCTACTCTCGTGCGACACTGCAACACCATGTTCCTCTCGCTCTGTCTTCCCACCCCACCTTTCCACCCATCTTCTCACGCCGTCCTCTCCTCTCACCCCATCCCTCACCCATCTTCGTCCCTATGGCTAGGTTTGTGGAGAATGGCTCTCTGGCCGGCATCATCAAGCCAAATAAGTTTGGGCCCTTTCCAGAGTGCCTTGTTGCTGTCTACACTGCTCAGGTGTGTAGAGTCTGATTCGTCTGCAAGCAATTGTTGTTAACGCACGTATGCTATTCATCCTATGACTTTGCTCCTTGCATTTCGCCTGCCTTCCACTCTTATTCCCTCTGCTCCTCTCTGCTCCCCCGTTCCTGCTTCCTCACTCCCACTTACTGCCATTTTCTCTGTTTCTCCCCTCCCCCCCCCCCACCACTGGTGGCAGGTGCTGGAGGGGCTCATGTATCTGCACGAGCAGGGCATCATCCACTGCGACATCAAGGGCGCCAACATCCTCACCACCAAGGAGGTCAGTCAACGTAGTCACCACCAAAGAGGTCAGTCACAGTGCCTTCCCTTCCGTTCCACCTCCTAGTCACTCCTCCACCTACCACACCAACCCCCCTTGCCTCCCACTGGACCCACCGTTTGAGTCACTTCAGAATAACCCGCTGGAGCATCAAACCAGCTGACAAGCTCACTGCGGAAGGGCCACCACGCCGTTCTGGTTGGCGCGAGAGGTGATAGTGATGTCGGACAACTTGTACACGCGCCTCCGACATCTGGAGCATCGTCAGCTTGCTCTATCCTTCAGACTCCCTCTCCCCCTCTTCCCTTCCCCCTCCCCTCTTCTCCTCCTCCTCCTCCTCCTCCTCCTCCTCCTCCTCCTCCTCCTCCTCCTCCTCCTCCTCCTCCTCCTCCTCCTCCTCCTCCTCCTCCTCAACCCGCTCTTTTCCCACCCCTCCCCTCCCTCATTCCCCTCCACCCCTGCAGGGTCTGGTGAAGCTGGCGGATTTTGGGGTGGCGATGCGAGTAGAGGAGGCAGCGGCGTGCCATGGGGACGCGGAGAACCCCAACGTGGTGGGCACGCCCTACTGGATGGCGCCCGAGGTCATTGAGATGTCCGGCATCTCACCCGCCTCCGACATCTGGAGTGTAGGCTGCACTGTTATCGAGCTCCTCACCACCAAGCCGCCCTACTTCGACCTCCAGCCCATGCCCGCTCTCTTCCGCATCGTTCAGGTGCAATTTTGCTCGCACACGACCCTTTTTTGTGTGTGTGTGTTTTTTTTTTTTTTGGAATGACAGGCTACGTACTTCAGTGAGGAGATTTTTTAGCTGAGTTTTCCAACTCCGCTCACTCACCCTCAAGGGCGTCGTCACGTTTTGTTTTGAGACGTCTCAAAGCACATCTTCACATACTTTAAAATCTCCGTGCTGTGTCATCATGCACGCCACTTGTCTTGCAGGACGACATGCCGCCCATACCAGAGAATGTGTCAGCTGCCACGTCCGACTTTCTCCACCTCTGCTTCCGTAAGGTGCGGTACAGGGGGTTCCTGGGCTGTCCAATGCTGGGATGCTGGGTGGGATGGTGGAATGCTTTTGCAAGGGGCTCTCTTTCCGTGCCTTCCTCTCGCCAAGGGGCTCTCTTTCCGTGCCTTCCTCTCGCCAAGGGGCTCTCTGTCTCTCTCTCCATGCCCTTCCTTCTCTCACCACATCCCCTCCCTGCCACTCCTTCCTTTTGAGTCGGCCCAAAAATGATGACTTTTGCAAGGGGCTCTCTCCTTGCCCTTGTCTCACCAAGGGGCTCTCTCTGCGTGCCTTCTCTCGCCACATCCCCTCCCTGCCACTCTTTCCTCCTCCTGCTCCCACCACCTCTACAGGACACCAAGAGCCGCCCGGACGCCAAGACTCTCCTGCGGCACCCGTGGATCCGGCAGGCGAAGCGGGCGGTGTCGTCCGGCCTTGCTGCCATCCCCCGCCCTGTCAGCGCCGGCTCCTCCTCCTCCTCCACCCGCCCCCTGTACGTGCTGCTGCTGCTGCTGCTGCTGCTGTTACTGCTGACCCCTGTATACGCTAGCATTCTGTTGAACATCTACCCTGCTGCTGTCGTTACTCCTCCTTCCTCTTGCCCACCCCCTTCCATCATTTCCTGCCCTGCAGCTATCCGAAGGCGCCGTCACAAGCTGGTGCAGGCAGGGGCAGCGACGAGGCAGCAGCCATAGACGATCCGATTGATGCCTCCAGGCGGTTGAGATCTCTCAATAACCAACTTCCAACTTCTCTCTCCCCCACGCAGGTACCCTGAGGCCCCGTCGCAAGGTGGTGCAGGCAGGGGCAGCGACGAGGCAGCAGCCATAGACGACTCAATCGATGCTGCCAGACGTGTGCACGCCACCTCCCACGCCTCCTCCTCCTCCTCCTCGCCACCTGTCACCCTCTCCGCCTCCTCTCCGGACAGCGAGCGGCGTGATAGGAAGATCCACCTGCAAGCGGTGAGTCGCTTTTACTTGCTCTAAAGAAGAGAGTTTGAGACATCTCAAAAGACGTCGCACAGCTCCTCCTCGCCTGTCAGCCTCTCCACCTCCTCTCCTCTCCTTCAACGATTGCTGATCCCAATCCGCGCACAGCTCTTTGTGAGAAGGTTTTAAAGGCTTTAACCAATCTCTTGCTCCTCCACCCCACCTCACACCAACCCACCCCACCCATCCGCACCACCACCAGGACGCGGTGAAGGACCTGAGGGAGGCAGCCAAGGCAGCACGCAAGTCACGAGCACAGCGCCACTCTATGGGCGGTAGCATTGACTCCGGTGCCCCCTCTGATCGCCCCGGGACCGCCGAGGATGCTGGTAGTGGTGGTGCTGGTGCTGGTGGGGTGAGTGGGGGCAGTGGGATTAGCAGCAGCGGTATCCCCCTCAGTGGCAGTGGGCGGCGTAAGATTATTCGGTCCAAGAGCGACAAGGAGCTGAATGCCAGAGACAGTGAGGGGCACGCGGAGGGGGGGGCAGGGGGAGCGGGTGGCAAGGACGGGGCGAGGAGGCAGAGGTGGAAGAGCGGACAGGGTATGGACGAGGAGGGCAGCAGGGAGTTTATCAGCATGCAGGGGGAAGGGGGCGTGTGGGAGGTCTCAGATGAAGAGGATGGGCTGGGGAAAGTTAAGGGAGGGAGACGAGGAGCAGGGCGGGAGAGAGCAGAGGAAGAGGATAGCAGTGGAGAGATAGGTTCGGGAGAGGCTCGGCAGCAGCTGAAGCTGGGGCAGTCGAGCAGCACTGGTGGAGCGGGTGTGGGTGGGGGGGGAGGGAGTGGGGCGAGCAGTGGGCGGTCGATGAGTGCTGGTCTGGCGTCTCCCCCTCGGTCCCACCGGGGGTCGCGCTCCCAGCAGCAGTCTCCGGAGGGAGCGCATGGGAGGTTGAGTTTTGAGGCGCCTCAGAAGGTCTCGCGCTCGCAGCAACAGTCACCGGAAGGAGCGCACGGGAGGGCGAGTGGGGGGAGGTCTGGTGGGGAGAACTTCCTGGTTGGGTCTTCAGGGGAGGAGGGCGGGGCGGATCAAGAGGATGAGAGAAACGGCACGCCCGCTGGGAGGAAGGCGAGGCGGAGATCACAAGATGGGGACGGGACCGGGGCGGAGGGAGGAGGAGCGGGAAAGAAGGGGGCGGGGAAGAAGAAGGAGCAGCGGCGCAGCGGGCCTCTGTCAGCCCCTACGGGCAAGTCAGGAAAGGGCGCGGGGAAGAAGCGAGGCTCACAGCAGCAGCAGGCACAGCAAGACGATGACTGCAACAACGACAACAGTGGTAAAATTGTCCCGGGCAGCAGCAGCCTTCTCGCACCGCACACGCCTCCACAGCCCATCCCACGCCCCCTTTCCACATTCATCGAGACAGAGGAGGAGCGGTCTCTCTCCTCCCTCACAGCCATGTTCTCGCCTCTGGCGGGATCACCACAGGTGGCGGGCGGGAGCAGGAGCCTGGCGGGCGTGCTGAGGGAGAGGCTTGTGAGAGGGATGCACCGTGTGGCTGTGAAGGCAGAGCGCGAGGGGAGTGACCTGTTTGCGGGTGTTGAGGGGCTGGATGCGGTTGGGAGCGGTGCGGAGAGGGGAGAGGAGGAGGGTGGGGCTGTGGGTGTTGTTGGTGGAGTTGGGGTGGTTGGGGAGTTTGATTCAGCGGTCTATGGAGGGGCAGCAGGTGGAGGGGCAGAGTGCAAATCGAGCCTGCGGCCAGAGTTGCTCAACCAGAAGGTATGCTGCTGTGATGCCATCTCCCCTCATGTTTCGCCAGGCATCAGATCAGAGGCAGCGAGGCTGTTGAGCCAGCGTGAAGCCACTCCTGCTGGAAGGGCGTTGCTTCAGAGTTCTCCGTTCTCCCTCCTTTCCCCTTCTCTGTCCCCTTTCTTTCCCCCGTTGCCAGGTATCAGAAGCAGCGGGGCTGCTGAGCCAGCTGAAGCCGTCGCAGGGCGAGGAGGCGATAGAGGTGGCGAGCAGCAGGCTGGCGGGGCTGGTGGGGGAGTACCCCGAGGTCAAGGGCGAGCTCGTGGCGACCCATGCTGTGCTGCCACTGCTCGATGTGTTCGATGCTGACAGCCCCCGGGTGAGTGGGTTGGGTGCGGGCATGTGAGGGAACAAGGTTGGGGAAGGCCGGAGGTAGCGAGCAGCAGGCTGACGGGGTTTGCGCTGGGAGTACCCCGAGGTTGAAATCAATTGTTACGTCGACATGAATTTTCTCAAAAGTGACTTGTTATGTTTCTCAAAAGTCACGTCTGACGGGGTTTGTGCGGAGGGGATTACCCCGAGGTGAAATCAATTGTTACGCTCATGACATGTTGTTGTCCTTCCCGATGCCTTCTTTTCCCTGACTGCAGATAGTGCTGGCAGTGCTGGGGCTGCTGCAGCAGCTCATCACCGACAGCCCTGCCATCCAAAGCCTGCTCTGCAATGCTGGCCTCGTGAGTAACCTTTTTTTGAGGCCCCTTAAAAACCACTCTTGAGAAACCCAAACTCAAAAGTGATTCTCTGCAATGCTGGCTGGCCTCGTGAGTAACCCAACCCAACCTTGTGCCGCCGAGCTGCTACTGTCTGTCTGTCTACATGCGCATGTGGTGCTTGTTCTTTTTTTGGTGCGAGGAAACGTGTCTGAGTCTGTTTTTGTGGCATTCGATTGAAATCACGCCGGATAGATATGAATGTTTGTACGGCGCACGCATGTGTTGGTGTGAGTCCCTTTGCGTAACAAAATGCCGCCTGCCTACTTCCTTCCTTCCCTCAATCACTCCCGTTTCGCTTTCCTGAATTTCCTTCTTCCCCCTTTCCCCCTCCCCCCGCCCTCTCCTCTCCCCCCATCACCCCTCTTCTTTTCGCTTCCCCTCTCCTTCCCTTCCCCCGCACCACAGGTGCCGACGCTGCTCAACTTCTCCTCACCGGGTCGCTGCTCGCCAGACATGCGCCATCAGGCAGGCCTTGTGCTGCGCCACCTCTGCCACTCCAGGTACTTGTGCTGCGCCGCCTCTGCCACTCCAGGTACGAGAGAGAGAGTTGCCATCTGTCCGCGGCCACCTGTGCCCACTTTTGAGTCGACTCAAAAGCGGGCCTTGTGCTGCGCCACCTCTGCCACTCCAGGTACTTGTGCTGTGCCACCTCTGCCACTCCAGGTACTTGTGCTGCGCCGCCTCTGCCACTCCAGGTACGAGAGAGAGAGTTGCCCTCTGTCCGCGGCCACCTGTGCCCGCTTTTGAGTCGACTCAAAAGCGGGCCTTGTGCTGCGCCACCTCTGCCACTCCAGGTACTTGTGCTGCGCCGCCTCTGCCACTCCAGGTACTTGTGCTGCGCCGCCTCTGCCACTCCAGGTACGGGAGAGTGAGACAGTTGCCCTCTGGCCACGGCCACCTGTGCGCGCCCGACCATCTGTCCCCGACCACCTGTCCCCGACCATCTGTGCCCGCTGTGCCACCTGTGCCCGCTGTGCCACCTGTGCCCGCTGTGCCATCTGTGCCCGCTGTGCCACCTGTGCCCGCTGTGCCACCTGTGCCCGCTGTGCCACCTGTGCCCGCTGTGCCACCTGTGCCACTCCAGATGCGTGTAGGTCGCTCACTGAGCTTGCCTGTTCCCGCCGACCCACTCATCTCTGCGCCTTGAACGTTTCTCTTTTTCTCCACCCTCCTGCTTGTTCCTCTTCCCTCCACAAACCCCACGATCCCACACTCCCTCCTTATCCGCCCACTCCTCCCATTCCTCTCTTGAGTCTTCTCTCCGCTCCCTCTTCTCCCCCCCCTTCTCCCATGTATTCCCCCCCCTCCAACGTGGATCTCCCTGTACCAGTCCCGACGCAGTGAGAGCGCTGCTGGCATGTCGGGGCCTGCCCACGCTCATGGCGTTTCTTGAGACCGACTACTGCAACAACCGGTGGGTTCTTCTGGGTGGCTTTCGCTCTGCTCTGCCCTGCTGTGCTCTGTCTGTAAGCTGTGCCTGGGGTTTGGTACATGACATGCCAGTGCTGACATACACACACACACCAGTGACCGGGGGGCTGTTGTGACTACTTTTGAGGCGCCTCAAAAGGGGTTTGGTACATGACATGCCAGTGCTGACATACACACACACACCAGTGACCGGGGGGCTGTTGTGCACTGCACGTTGGGCTGTACTGCTTGCTAGTAGTAGTGCTGGCAGCGTGCCTCTTGAGCCGACATTCAACTCTCTTCCCCAAACTCTTTCCCCACACCCCGGGCGTTCGTGCACATAGGGCTGGCTGGACTGTCTTGTCTGCTGGCAGTGCTGGCAGCAGCTTTTTTAAGTCGACTCAAAACCCTCTCCGCACCTCCCCCCAACCCAACCCCCCTCCCTCAGAGCGTTCGTGCACATCGGGTTGGACTGCCTGCTGGAAGTGCTGGCAGCGGGGCGCCCCACCCCGCGCACGGACATTGCGAGGCAGCTGGCGCGCATGGGGCTGCTGCACCGCCTGCTCTCCCTCCTGCACTCCGTCTCCTCCGCCCGCAACCACCCCGCTTCTGCCTCATCTGCTGGCGCTGGCGCTGGTGCTGGTGGTGCTGGTTTTGGTGGTGAGGGTGGGGGTGAGGGAGGTGGTAGGAGCAGCTGGGATGGCGGTGCGGCTGGCTCTGGTGGTGGCTCCGTGTATGGGTCAGCGGACGCATATGGCTCTGGCAACACAGGGGGGGCAGGTGCAGGAGCGGGAGGAGGGGGGGCAGCATCAGCTGCTGCTTCTCCTGCAACCTCCTCCTCAACATCGTCTGCTGCTGCTCCTGCCGCTGCCACTCCTGCTCGGCGCTCCCAGCGCCGCATCTTCGGCCTAGCGCAGTTCCGAAGCAAGGCAGCCAAGGCTGGACAGGGCGGAGGAGACTCGCAGGCACAAGGAGGGGCAACATCCTCATCAGCAGCAGCCAGAACAGGAGGAGGAGGGGGAGGAGTGGCAGGTGGTGCTGGTGGCTCTTCCAGTGGCGGAAATGGAGTGGGTGCAAGAGCAGGGGGGTATGGGACCAGTTCCGGTGACAGTGGTGGTGGTGCTGGTGCTGCTGGTGGTGGTGCTGGGTGGGGCAGTGGGTCCTCCTCTTCCACAGATACTAACACGTTCACCTCCTCCTCCTCCTCCTCATCAGCAGCAGCGGTGAAGCAGCAGCAGCTAAACCCGGCAGCGCTGGCAGCACAAGACACGCTCTACCTCACCCGCACAGCCCTCCTCCTGCTGCACCTCTGCCAGGCAGACGAGGCAGTGCGCGCGCACATGCTCGCGCCCTCCTTCCTCAAGCGCCTGCTCGACGCCCGGGAGTCTCTCCCCCCGCCCGTGCTGCTGCTGCTGCTGCGCGTGCTCCGCCAGCTGTCGGCTGATGCCGCCTCGCATGACTCGTTGCAGCGGGCCGATGCTGTCCGTGCACTCGTGCCATATATTGATGCGGGGTTCAGGGAACGGTTTGAGGTGGCGGGGAGAGGGGAGAGCCGGACGGGTGGTGGTGAGGGAGCGGTGGCGTATCCGGATTCTCTGTTCTGCGACATTCAGGCTGAGGTGAGTGGTGTGAGATTCGGGAGCTGCTGGCGCTGTACAATGTCTGCAGCGGCAGCATGCGCCTCCTGGATTGGTATACAGCAATAGACACACCCCCCCTCCCTCCCCTGAAACCCCCAACCCCGCACAATCCCCCGTCCCCTCCCCTCACCACCACCAGGCGCTGATGGCGCTGTACAATCTGTGCAGGGGCAGCAAGCGCAGGCAGGAGCTGGCAGCAGAAGCTTCCATCGTCCCCCCCCTCATGGTGCTCATCTCCTCGCGCTCGCCTCTTCTCCCCTTCGCGCTGCCACTCCTCTGCCTGCTCGCCACGGCCTCACGAGCTGCCTGCGACACGCTGCTCCACCACAACGCGCTGCCGCTGCTGCTCTCGCTCCTCGCCACCCCGCTCACTCCCCACGCCGCCATCGCTGCCCGCCTCGCAGACAGCAGGAAGGAGGGCACTGGGGTCAAGGGGGGAGGCGGAGGAGGGGGGAGTGTCGCGGGAGGAGCAGGGGGAGCAGGGGCGCCAGGGGGAACGGGGGGTGCTGGGGGGGCCCAGGGGAGTGGGGAAGGGGCGGAGAGGATGTGGGGAGCAGCGGCGTTTGAGGCGGTGGTGGCGTGTGTGGTGAACGATGGGGAGGGGCGGCATGTGGAGCAGACGCTGCTGCGCCGCGACTCCCTGGAGGCGCTCGTGTGGTTCGTGCGCAGGGCCGCCAAGACTCCATCGTTTACAGCGCTCTTTGAGCCTCTGCTGCGCCTCGTCAGGTGAGCCCTGCGTTCTCATCTCCTCTCTCATGCTCTTTCTGACACTGACTGTGCGAATCTCTCTCTAGTGGTCTCTCCCTCGAGGCACTAGTGTGGTCCGTGCGAGGGGCTGCGAAGACTGCTTCATTCACTGTGCTCTTTGAACCGCTGCTGCGCCTCATCGCGTGAGTGGGCCATGATCCCTGCCGTGCTTGCTCCTCGAATTACGTCCTCCCTTTCCCCCTTCAACCTTGCACCCACCCTATTTTGAAATCTCTCACTCACCCCTCCTCCTTTTTTCTCGGCCTCCATTCACCCGCCACACCTGCAAGTCGCCCAGTGGGAGGGCTGTCAGCGCTGTCAGTGGGAGGGCTGGGCGACCTGCTTGTTGCTCGCTCGCCCCTTTGTAGCGCTGACAACGCTTTTCCCTTTTCCCCTGCTTCCAAACCCCCACCCCGACCCCGATCACCACCTCCCATAACAGCAAGTCGCCCACGCTGAATGCAGCGCTGTCAGTGGGAGGGCCGGGCCACCTGCTTGTTGCTCGCTCGCCCGTTCGTAGCGCTGACAACGCTTTTCCCTTTTCCCCTGCTTCCAAACCCCCACCCCGACCCCGATCACCACCTCCCATAACAGCAAGTCGCCCACTCTGAATGCAGCGCTGTCAGTGGGCGGCCTGGGCGACCTGCTCGTGGCTCGAATGTTGGCTGTGTTGACATCCCCTTTTCCTCCCTTGTGGCACCCACCCGTCCCATCCCCCCACTCACCCGCCTCAACAGCAAGTCGCCCACACTGAATGCAGCGCTGTCGGTGGGAGGGCTGGGCGACCTGCTCGTGGCTCGCCTGGACGACCCTCAGCTGGAGCCCGCCGTGCGCCTCAACCTTCTCAAGCTGCTCAAGGTGAGGTGCTGGCGTGTGGGGTCAGACTTAACACGGGTATGGAGGAGAATAGGTCGGTGCCCTGTGCCTTCATGGCCTATGGATGGATGATAAGGACTGTACGACCCTCAGCTGCAGCCAGCTTTGCTGCCGAACCTGCTCAAGCTGCTCAAGATGGGCTGACGTGGAGGTCAAGAGAGTGTGTGTATGGGCGTGGAGTGTATATGTTGATGCCTTGTGCAGCACAAGAAGCAGCAAGAGTAGCAAAAGCAGCAAAAGCAGCAAAAGCAGCAAAAGTAGCTTTAGGAGTATACAGCTGGAGCCTGCAGTTCGGCTCAGGGTGCTCAGGCTTCTCAAGGTGAGCTCGCGATACATGGTGGATTGAGTCGTGCTGCTGAGCAGCACCTCACCCCAAGTTGCTGCTGTGTGTGTGCAGTCAAAAAAGTCTTGCACTGTCACCATTCTATTCCCTCGATTCCCCCTTTTTCTACCCTGCCCATTCAAACGCCAGAGCCAGCACCTGTACCCCAAGGGGCTATGTGTTCACCATCATACCACCACTCACAAGCAACTCCCGTGATTTTCCTCTCTCCACTTCTTCTAACCCCAGGCGGTGTACGAGCAGCACCCATACCCCAAGGGGCTGTGTGTTCCAGACGAGCTGCCGGGGAAGCTGCAGCGGCTGACGGAGGAGCGGCGCATTGCGGGCGGGCAGCAGGTGCTCGTCAGACAAATGGCGTCGGCGCTGCTCAAAGGGCTGCACTTCGGCCCGCCCAGATAGATTCAACCGACGAACCACAAGCAGACGGCGGCCACAAGCAGACGGCGGCTGACGGAGGAGCGGTGTGGCAGCAGGTGCTGGTGAGACAGATGGCGCCCATGCTGCTCAAAGGGCTGCACTTCGGCCCGCCCAGATAATCGGCTGGGGTTGACGGGAAGCTTTGGTGGAAATGAGTGGAGAAATCACTTCACTGCAATCGACAGATGGTTTACTTCTGAGTGCAGCAGTGCAGCGATGCGTGCGCGGCGAGTGTGACTGCAAGATGGTCCCATCCCAGCAGTCGTCTCGTCGCCTTCGTGGTTGGAAGGGCAGCAGCAGCAGCACCCCACTCTGCAAAGCAGCGGTAGCAACACGCCATGGTCATCTGTAAAGCAAAGCTGGGGTCATTCTTGGTGTACGGTATTTATTGCGCTCTGCAGTTCGCGGGCAGCTGCAATGGTGGAACAGGCATCGCTGGGAGTTAATTGAAAAAGAAATCGTTCAGGACAGAAGCCAACAGAGTATGAGTCGATTGATTGCGAGGTGCAGTGCTAACAGCATCCTCCACATCATAATAATACACCATTCTCAACCGAATATAAGCATAAAAAGCAATGCTTTTGAATTGATCACTAATGTCATGCATCTGTTGCAGGTTCTGGATAAATGCTGCTCTACGTCGGAAGCTTCATTGAAACTGACTCAACGCTAGTGCAGTACATGTGCGCTATCCAAACAGCAACAGCATAAACATCAAGATGGAACCAAGTTGATTTGAGCACCCTTGCCCTTCACATACCCCTGTCTGCTGCCCGTGCACCGCCTCTCTCTCCCACAGAATCTACATGCACTCATCACCCTGTTCCTGTGCAGAACCCCACTCACCACCTCCCCTCGCCCTCCTGCCTCCCCTTGCTTCCCCTCCGCTCTCTGCCCTCCCTCCTGCGCCACCCGACTCTTCTTCTCCTGCTCCTCTCCTCCCTTCATCACTTGTCCTCGGCCTCTCGCCTTCCTTCGCCTCTTTCTGCCCCCCTTCCTTCTCTCTCCTGTTTCTTTTCTAGCCGATCCACCTGCTGTAGCAACTCCACCAGCGGCTGTTGCGGCAGCCGTAGCAGCAGCAACTGAAGCAGCAGCAGCAGTAGCAGCAGCTGCATCAATGGAAGCACCTTCACCTTCCACGTGGTTGCATGTGGCGCTTCTCCGGGTCGCCTCAGACGCTACAGTGGCGGCTGGGGCGGCAGCATCTGCGCCGTCTGCACCTGCAGAGGAAGGATCTACGGCGGTTCCTCTAGCATTCCCACAGGTAACCGCAACTGGGGAAGCTACCAGCCTGGTAGCTTTGCCACTGCTCCTTGAATTGGTACTCTGTGATGTCTGTGATGTCTGCGATGTCTGTGATGTCTTTGATGTCTTTGATGTCTTTGATTTCTTTGCACTCCGAGATGAATTTCCTGTGCGCGGGTACGATGCGATGGAGAGGGTGCACGTGGAAGGCAGGATCTGGGGAAGGCCGCATCTGATGCAGGGAATTTGCACGAAGCAGGGATGGGGGGAGGGGAGGGGGGGGGGGGGGGGGGGGGGGGGGGGTGAGGGAGGGGTGGTGAAAAGAAAGGTATGTTTTTTTCTCTCGCTTTTCACATGTCCCAGAAAAGGAAATCTAACGGAGGATCTACTGCAGGAGGTTTTGGCCATTGGGGATGGAGGGGAGGATAATTTTTGGTGGAGAAGAGAGGATATACAGCAGCACTCACCCCGCGCACAGCACACTCCCGTCAATCGCCATTGCCTTGGAAACAGACTGTCCGCTGCCACCACCTTCGCCGCTGCTGCCGCCGCCACCCCCTCCTCTTCCCCCTTCCGCTGGCGTCAGCAGCTGCACGCACCGCCCGAGGTGGGCGGCAACGGGCGGCGAACTGACGGCGAGCGACTCCGCGGCTCGCCGAAGAAACTCGCGGCGGAGGTCGAGCGGGGTGGCGGAAGCGCCGTGCGAGGAGGTGGCGGCGGAACGAGCGCGCGGCTGGCTCATTGCGGCTGCCGCTTGTAAACCCGCTGGCGAGATTTTCGGCGGTGCCGTGAGGTATGCAAAATAGATTGTTATGGTACTCAAACAAAGAGTGTGTACGCGAGAGAAATGCACTTAGCGAAAGTGATTAACGAGGTCCGCTTCGTTGAGGTCTGTGGGGGAAGTGTGGTTGCACCGATTGGTTTCCGAAACGAAAATATGTGGTTCGTCGTCATCCAATCGCTGGATTCGGGTTACCCCTCGCAAGCTTGTTGATAATCCAACCAAACAGAAACTCAGGGAGTGTCAGAAGAGTTCACTCGGCTACGGTAATTCCTGGTGATTGACGTTCGAGAAAGGCCTGTTTAGTATTTTGGGCTGTCGAGTAGGGTTATGAGGGGAATGGAAATTCTACATCACGCAGCGCAGCTTGCTTTCCGTTCCCGCGGACACCCCTTCGTCCATTCATGGCTGCTGCATGTATGCTGCGGTGCTGCACCATGCAGCCGCAATACCAGTTCCCAATGTCGGTCGAATCACTGCTGTCGCGTCTATAATCGATTCCCCTATGTCGACTTCTGTGACGCGCGTCGTCGGCCCGGCATGTGCGACCGCAGACCCGCTGCTGCCGCTGGCGACCCTGCAGCTGCAGTGGTCACGGATATATCCGCGAGACCACGAAATCCCTATGCGACGCGCACCAATGGGTCGCAGCGTGCAGCAGATCCGTCCCATATGGTTTTTTAGTCTCAAGCCAATCCCCGAGTACCGACAGTCAGTCACGGCGGCGTGGCTGTCGCCTCTTCATAAGCTCAAACGTCCTGCTGTGCCCGTGTCCCCATCGCAAGCTCATGTCGCTCGCTCTCACGGAATAGATTCATCCGGCTTGAAACGACAGCCTTCAATCCTTCATTCCAGAGCTGCAAATCTTCACACGACGGTGTGCGGAATTCTTCACGGCCGCAAATCTCTCCAGCGAGTTTGTAGGCTGTTGCTGTTGCTGTTGCTGCTCGAGCGATGGACGTCGACCCTTCCCCTCAGGCGGAAAAGACGACCAAGGTGAACGCTGACGTGGAGAAGAGCGTCCACGTGGAGTGCGGGCTGTGCGCCGTGCTCACTCCCCTCGCGCGCTGCCTGGACCTCCCCCACTGCACGTGCCTGCTCTGCCTCCCCTGCGCGCGCGGATCCTTCCGCCCGCAGCTGGAGCATCTCAAAGCGCAGCTGGTGAAGGGAACTCGTCATCAACTTTTCTCTGCTCATTCTCCTAGGAATTCACCTGGGAATTCTCCTGGGAATAATCCTGGGATTTCTCATGGGGAAGATTTCATGGCCTGCCCGTGCTGCATTCAGCCAGTACCAGCTCTCCACATGCAGACCCTCCTGCCCGAAGAATTTTGGCAGTGGGAGGAAACGGCAACTTCGGTTGCCCTAGCCCGTTTTTTTGGGGGAGATGAATTTGTTATCTGCCCGGGATGCCATGTCCTTGTGGAAAAACTGCCCGCAAAGGCAGCAGATCCAGAGGCTGCAGAGGCAGCAGCTGTAGCCGCAGCTGCAGACGCAGCGGCAGCTGTGGCAGAGGCAGCGGCAGCAGAGGCAGCAGCAGAATCAGCAGCGGAAGATGCAGCAGATGCAGCAGCAGCATCGGCAGCAGAAGCAGCGGAAGCAGCAGCAGATGCTGCAGACGCTGCAGAAGCAGCAGCAGCTGCGGATACAGCAGAGGTAGCAGAGGCAGCAGCAGCAGCGAAGGCAGCAGCAGAAGCAGCACAGGCAGCAGCAGCAGTACAAGCCGCAGAGGCAGCCGAAGCAGCAGCAGCAGCGGAGACAGCAAAAGCAACAGCAGCAAAAGCAGTGGAAAAAGCAGCAGCATCAGAAGCTGCAGCAAAGGCAGCAGCCGCAGCAGCAACTGCGGCGAGAGCCGAAGAAAGAGACGAGGAAGGCCGGCCGCTAACCCCAGAAATGGTACTCCATAAACTGAACAACAGATACCGATGCGGGGAGTGTGGGGTGGTCTTTTGTGGGTCGTGCCGCGAGCACCCATATCACCTCGGGATCTCCTGTGCAGCGCATGCTGTGCGGCTTGCTGCCCCCAAGTGCCGCTTCTGTGGGGAACGGGTCGAATGGGGTGGGATGGACCTGGACTGGAATGAGGAGGCTGGAGAGGAGGAGGAGAGAGGTGATGGTGTTGGTGAAGGTAGGAAGAAGGATGGAGAAGACGCTGCTAAGCGGCTCGCGGAGCTGGTTGCATTCCATGGTGACACGATTACAAGCAGCAACAGCGGCGGTGGTGGCGGCAGCAGCGGCCAGGCTCCTCAAGACACGAGCAACTGGAGCTGGAACGAGGGAGAGATGAGGGAGCTTCTTGCAGCAGTAGGCGTAGACACGAGCTGGTGCGTGAGCAAAGCCGACCTGGCAGCAGTGGCAGCTGCAGCAGTCTGTGTGTGTGGCGAGGAGCAATGCAGGGAGCGGCTGAGGGACGCATGCACGCGGGTTGGTCCATGTGGGCACGCGTGTGGGGGAGTGAGAGGGGAGGTGGACTGCCTACCATGCCTGCATGATGCCTGTGTGGAGGAGAGAGATGCAGCTGCTGCTGCCGCTCCCTCTGCTGCTGCTGCAACAGCCGCCTCTGGTTCTGGCGCTGGTGCTTTTGGTGGTGCTGCTGCTCCCGGTTCTGTTGCTGCTGCTGCTGCTGCTGCTGCTGCTGCCGCCCCTTGCCCCATGCCGCCCCTCCCCTGTGCCAGCGACTTTTGTCCCATCTGCTGGGTGGAGCCGATCGCCGCCGCCCCAGCCATCCGGCTGTTGTCCTGTGGCCACGTGGTGCATGCAGCATGCGCGAGGGAGAAGATTTGCCAATCATTTCCTGGTCCTGAGATCTCCTTCGGTTTCCTATCTTGCCCGCTCTGCCCTGATACGACGATGGATCATCCTGCGCTCCAGACAGAGCTTGCCGCCCCGCTGGCTCTGAAGCAGCAAGTGGAGAGATTAGCGGAGGAGAGAGTGAAAGCTGGAGAGGGGCTTGGGGATGGGGAAGAGGAAAATGGGAATGGCGGTTTAGGGAACAATGTGTTGGCGCGGGCGCTGCGTCGGTTGCTGTTCTTCCTCTGCTCGCGCTGCCACCGCCCGTACTTTGGTGGGGATCGTAGGTGCGGTGCCGGACCTGCTGCTGCCGAGCCTGAGAATGTGGATGGGGAGGAGGGGGAGGGAGAGGAGATGGAGGAAGGCGAGAGAGAGGGAGGGGGGGTCGAACGAGCAGGGGAAGTGGGTGGGCAGGGTCAGCGAGAAAATGAGCTGGTGTGTGGTGAATGCTTGGCAGTTGAAGCAGCTGCAAAGCAAAAGGCAGCAGCAGAAGCAGCAGCGGCAGCAGCAGCAGCGGCGGAGGAGGAGAGAGAAAGGAGGGAGCGGCTGTGGGAAGCAGGCAAGCCGTGCAGCAGCAACCATGGGAAGGAGGCCGTGCAGTACAAGTGCCAATTCTGCTGCTCGGTCGCCACTTACTTCTGTAACGGCACCACACACTACTGTGCAGAGTGCCACCAGACCCTCCCGAATTACAGAAGCTCCTCGTACGTTGCACCGCGCTGCACCGGGGGGGACCAGTGCCCGTTGCGTGTGGCGTGGCACCCGCAAGCTCCTGAGGAGTTCTGCCTCGGGTGTGGCTTGTGCAGGCCGTAGGGCCACCGGGATTATCAGTCATCCTGTGTCTGGATTGACATGCACATCAGACAGACACACTATGGGAAAGGGGTGAGTTTTGAGACGTCTCAGAACTCATAGGGCCACCGAGATTATCAGTCACCCTGTGTGTGGATTACCATGCACATTAGAGGGATACACTGAGGGAAAGGGGTGGCAAGGCAAGTGTGAGGAGGAAGTGACCCCAAGCCAACTGCTGCATGGGAGGGGTGTGGATGTGTAATGAGAGTGGGGATGGGGGCAGCATCTTTTATTGCTTGCACAGTTTTCTGTTTGTGTCTGCTGAGTGGTTTTTGTGTCTGCTGAGTGGTTTTTGTGTCTGCTGAGTGGTTTTTGTGTCTGCTGAGTGGTTTTTGTGTCACCCCTAGAAAGAGTCATTGCTAGATTGAGAAAGGTACGGTACCACGAAGGAAGGAGCTGGTTGCAGGAATACCTAAACGAGCGCTGTGGGGACCACCAAAAGGGTAGTCTGTGCCAGCCGGGAATCGAACCCGGGTCTGCACCGTGCTGATATGGCAGGGTGCTATTCTACCACTAGACCACTGGCACTCCATCAGATGAGACCTACTTACAGCAGCGTACCCTCTTCGCAAGACTCAGTGCAGGGAGAGGGACGTAGCATGCAGGTTGCCCTGTGGGCATGCGTGTGGCAGGGTGGGAGGTGAGGCCGACTGTCTGCTACGCCTCTGTGGAGGATAGCAACGCAGCAGCTGCTTTTGCAACTGCTGCAACTGCTTCTGCTGCTGGTGCCTCTGGTGCTTCTTCTGCTGGTGCTGCTGCTGCCATTGCAGCTGCTGCTGAGGCACCTGGGAGCAGCAGCAGTGGTGTGCCCTCTGCCGCCCCTCGCCCACTCCCGCCCCTCCCGTCTGCCAGCAACTTTTGTCCCATCTGCTGGGTGGAGCCGTTTGCTGCCGCCCGTGCCATCCGCCTGTTGTCCTGCGGCCACGTGGTCCACGTGGCATGTGTAAGAAGGAAGATTCGCCAATCATATCCCAGTCCTGAGATCTCCTTTGCCTTACTCTCCTACCCCCTCCGCCCCGCTGGCTCTGAGGCAACAAGTGGAGGGGTTGGCAGAGGAGAGGGTGAAGGCTAGGGAGGGGCTTGGGGATGTGGAGGAGGAAGATGGGGATGGGGAGGAGGAAGATGGGGATGGGGAGGAGGAAGATGGGGATGGGGAGGAGGAAGATGGGGATGGGGAGGAGGCCAACGGGAATTATGGTCTTGGGAACGGTTTGTTGGAAGTGGCGTTGCATCGGTTGCTGTTCTTCCTCTGCTCGTGCTGCCACCGCCCGTAATATCGAGGGCACCGCAGATGCGGTGCCGTACCTGCCGTGGCTGAGAATGAGGATGGGGAGGAGGGCGAGGGAGAGGAAATGGAGGAAGGTGAGAGAGAGGGAGGGGAGGAAGGACGAGCAGTGGAAGTGTGTGGGCTGCGTATTGAGCTGTTATGTGGCGACTGCTTGGCAGTTGAAGCAGCAGCAGCAGTGGCTGCGGCGGCAGCAGTGGCGGAGGAGTGAGAGAGGAGGGAGCAGCTGTGGGAAGCAGGCAAGCCGTGCAGCAGCAACCACGGGCCGGATGCCATACAGTACAAGTGCCGCTCCTGCTGCTCTGTCGCCACTTACAGTGCGGTGGCACATCTCATTCCTGTGCGTGTTGACACGATCGCGGCAGTCCACCCACCCCCTCGTGCGCAGGGGGCACTGAGTGTCCCTTGCGTGTGGCTTGGCACCCCCAGCCTCGAAGGAGTTTTGCCTTGGCTGTGTGTTATGTACGGTAGGCCTTAAGGACAGCTGGGCTTCCGTGTGGATGCACGCATGGAGATTTTCCTGGCTCTGCTGATGGTGGTGCAGGGTTACTGTACTAGACCTGGTCGCAATACTTGAAGTGATTGTGTGGAGTGTATGTAATTCATAGGGAAGCGATAAATGGTTTCGTGTGGTGGTGCCAAGGAGGTGGAAAACCCTTACTGTATGCATGCACGCAACATGAGCATGGAAAGAGCATGTGCAGGAAATCGTGCAGTTCCAAGTGTTGTTTAAGCTGCGCCCTCCCTGTTCATGTGCTTTGGCTGTACACACTATTGCAGCTCCTTATGTGTCACATGGCTCTGCACCGAGGGGAACCTGTGCTCGTTGCATGTGACGTGGCATGGCATCTACATGCTGTGTGTTTCACTTAACCCCTGAGGAGTTCTTCCTTGGGTGCTACTTGTGCAGACCATCAGGCCACTGGCAAATGAGACGGAACGTAAGTGACTGGCAGGACAGCATAATTTTGCAAACAGTGCTTGCTCATTTTAGTCTGTAGGAGATTCTTTGTTATTTGGAAGTAGAAAGTGTACTTGATATTGGAGTGGTGCATGTTCTTCTCGCGTGCCGTCGAGAAGAGCATGCATGCAACGGAACGCTGCTGTGCTGAAACACGCAGAAGGGAGACGAATCCGTCCGTGCATGGAGCGATACCCTAAACCACGCGGCAAAACTTGAACTGTGCCAGCCGGGAATCGAACCCGGGTCTGCACCGTGCTGATGTGGCAGGGTGCTATTCTACCACTAGACCACTGGCACTCAATTGGACGGCAGGAACAATTTACCTTGTATATGACAAGTATTTACTTTTATTGGCGACGAATGCCCTGAGCTTGCCTTCGAGGCAATCATGCAGACACCAGCAACTACCGCCAAAGGCGGCAAGGGCGGGAAAGGAGGGAAAGGGGGAAAGGGAGGCAAGGGGGGGAAACGCAGCGGCCGGCACGGGGCATCGGCGAGCAAGCAGCCGTCGATTCAGGCGAAGCGGGAGCAGCAACAGTCAGATCAGCAGTTGGCGCAAACTCCGCAGAAAGCTCTCTCCGCGCACGCCGCGCAGCCTCTAGATCCTGCGCGGATCACTTCCGCCGCATCTCCGCTCTCCGCTTCCGCAAACGCCGCCGTCAAAAGCGAACATGGGTCCGCGCCTGTTGTCGCTGGCGGAACCTTCGGGGGAGGCGCAGCAGCGTTGGGGGCAGCGCCGGGCGCGGAGCGGCCGGCTGCGGGGGGAGCGGCGGTGGCGGGGGAAGGGGTAGGATTGGCGGGTCCGCTGGAAGTGGGCGCGCGGGTGAGCGCGCGGTGGCGCGACGGGAAGATGCACCCCGCGAAGATCATCGAACGGCGGAAAGCGGCGGGGGGCGCGGACGAATACGAGTACTACGTGCACTATACCGAGTGTGAGTGATGTGAGCGAGCTTCGTTTGTGAGTGCGCTCTATCAATCAAGTTTCTCAGGGGTGGCGGGGGGCGGGGTCGAATACGAGGACTACGTGCACTATAAGAACGTGAGTATCTGTGATGTGCCGGTGTGGGGTGATGGATGTGATACGAGAGTAGACTCAAAAGTTACCACCGAAGAGCACCCCGTTCCCTGGAGAGCACCCCGTTCCCTGGAGAGCACCCCGTTCCCTGGACAGCACCCCGTTCCCCGGACAGCACCCCGTTCCCTGGAGGTGATGGACTTGCCTTGCGCTTGAAAGTGGCGTTCCCCTTCCCCCGTTCTCCCGCGCATGACCTTCCTCCAAACCCAGCTTAGTCACTTCTGGGATTCCCTTTGTGTACCTCCTACCCCTTCTCCCAATCCCCTCCCCCCCCCTCTCCCCTCTTCCCGTACTCTTTTCCCTTCCTCATTTCCACCCTTGCTTGCTCTGATCCCCCATTGTTTCCCCGCTCCTTCTCCCTTCTGTCCTTGGTGCTGATTGGCTGACGAGTGCGGAGCAGTCAACCGGCGATTGGACGAGTGGATCCCGGTGAGCAGCATTGACCAATCGTCTGTCAATACGGCGTGTGAAGAGAAGGCTGAGGAGAAGGTGAGTGGGGAGAAGGTACAAATTAAGTGCTACGCCTGGATTACTCTAAGGCTGTTTTTGAGTTGACTAAGAAACAGATTCATCACACAAGGTACACTTCAAATGCTATGCCTGGATTACTCTAAGACTGTTTTTGAGTCGACTACAAAACAGACTCGTCACACAAGGTACACATTAAATGCTATGCCTGGATTACTCTAAGGACGCGTCCCCTCCCTCGATCGATCGTGGAAAATCGAGGAAGATCGATCCTCCACCGCACTGAAAACCTGCGTTCTCCATTTTTTAATGTTTGAACCTTTTTAAACCGAGCTCAGGATCGATCCTACGCAGGATCCATCGAGGGAGGGGACGCGTCTAAAGACCGTTTTTGAGTCGACCAAAAAACAGACTCATCACACAAGGTACACATTAAATGCTATGCCTGGATTACTCAGGGCGTATTCCTGGCTTCGGGTCATCCGGGCTTCGGGTCATCCCGAATTAATTTCCCCGAACTGCGGGACTTCCGACTCGAGCTTCGGGTTGTCCGATTCGAGACGTTGCGAGCTTCGGCGATAGGGTGCTCGAAACTTAGTTTGGCCCGAGTAAAAATGTTGTAAAGCTGATGTGCGACATTTCCGATTGCGCGACTAAATTCATTCAATTTGTACAGCAACATTGAACATTGAAGTTAAGAAAACTGTCGCGCCAATATCGCAGTTGCTCGCCAGCTAGATCTGGCGATTGCATCTTAAAGTGACGAGAGTAGAGAGTAACGAATTAGGGTTTCCAATTAAATTTCTTCCAGAACAATTCGCCGTCAGATTTGGCGTGTTGACCCGAGCTGCTGTATTACAGCTCGTGTCTTCCCATAACTTCGGATGACTCAAAGAGCGGATGACCCGAAGCCAGGAATACGCCCTCATCACACAAGGTGCACATTAAATGCTATGTCTGGATTACTTTAAGACTGTTTTTGAGTCGACTAAAAAACAGTCTCATCACACAAGGTACACATTAAATGCAAAGCCTGGTTTACTCTAAGACTGTTTCAGTGTACCAGCTTTGTTCCACCGTCATCATTTCAAAAAGTCATATGCATTGTTCCTGTCCCTTTCCTACACCTGTTCGTTGCTGCCTGCCCCTTCCCTTTCTCCTCTTCTTACCCTCACCTCCTGACCAATCCATCCCGTCTCCCTCTCCTCTCCCCTCCTCCCCGTCACTCAACTGCCGGCCTGCCCCTTTTCCTGCCACGTCAGCATGGCAGCGGAGTGAAGATGACACGTCATCAGAAGAGGAAGATAGACGAGCTACACATAGAAGAGGTGAGTACTTTCCGTAATGCTGAAATCACTCTTGAGAATTCTCAAAAGTGGTAGACGAGCTGCACATCAAAGAGGTGAGTACTAGTCGTTGCTTCGCAGGTTTGTTTTGGACAAAATCTCAAATGTGCCCTGTACGTGACGTGACGCAGCAACCTGAGTAACGCACTTGCGTGCACAGCACAGCACAGCACACACAGGGTCATGAGGAGAGGAGTCTGGGGGTGCACGAGGAGTTCACCAAGGTGCAGAACGGTGGCCATCAATGCAACCCTTGCCCACCCTTCCCCACCTTTACACACGCACATGCAGGGCAAGGGTTGCGTTGCGTCCCCAATCAAGGCCCTTCTCCCCCCATCTTTACCACCCTAACACACACACACACACACACACACACCCACACACACACACACACACACAGGGCCATGAGGATTTCGATGCTGCAAGCTTGCGAGAGCACGAGGAGTTCACAAAGGTGAAGAACGTGCCGGTGATAGAGCTGGGGCGGTACGAGATGGACGCAATAGGGGCCCACAAGGCAATGAGTTTCCCGCCATGTTCCTCCTTACACAACCCCGCCGCACCGCAGGGCCATGAGGACTTTGACACGGCTAGCTGAATGGAGCCCGAGGAGTTCACCAAGGTGAAGAATGTGTTGAGAACCCAACCCGCCTCCTCACATCATCCCACACACACACCCACGCACGCACGCACGCACGCACGCACGCACGCACGCACGCACGCACCCACGCACGCACGCACGCACGCACCCACCCACCCACCCACGCACGCACGCACGCACGCACCCACATCATCCCACGCACGCACGCACGCACGCACCCACATCATCCCACGCACGCACGCACGCACGCACCCACATCATCCCACGCACGCACGGACAGGGACATGAAGACTTTGACGCGGCGAGTCTAAGGGAGCACGAGGAGTTCACCAAGGTGAAGAACGTGGCGGTGATAGAGCTGGGGCGGTACGAGATGGACACGTGGTACTTCTCGCCCTTCCCCCCCGAGTACGCGCACTGCTCCAAGCTCTTCTTCTGCGAGTTCTGCCTCGCGTTTCTCAAACGCCCCTCGCAGCTCGAAAGGCACATGGTGAGTGGGTGGGTGCGGGTTGTGTTCCCTCTGGCGTGGTCTGCTCTGCTGTCTTCTGTGGTGCTCTGTGCTGCTCTGGGTCTGGGGTGCTGGTAGGGTGCAAGCGCTACTCTAGCCTAGGGTCCCCCGAGTACGCGCACTGCACTGCTCCAAGCTCACCTGTTTACCTTTGACTGCTCCAAGCTCTTCTTCTGCGAGTTCTGCCTCGCCTTCCTCAAACGCCCCTCGCAGCTCGAGAGGCACATGGTGAGTGGTACTGTCGTTGCTTGCTGTCGTTTTTGAGGCGCCTCAAAAACGACCTCGAGAGGCACATGGTGAGTGGTACTGTCACTTTTGAGAATTCTCAAAAGTGCTTGCTCTGCGCGGCTCGGTTTGTCATTCCTTTTTTTTTTTTTTTTTTTTTCCCCCCCCCCCCCCCCCCGTTTCCGCTTCGCTTATGTGTGTATGTGTTGTTTTCTATTGATCTTTGCACCGTCCCTTCACATCACGTGTGTCTCTGCAGCGCAAGTGCGACCTCAAGCACCCACCGGGGGATGAGATTTACCGCAACGGCTCCCTCTCTATGTTCGAGGTAATAACTGGTGCAATAGGCAGTCAACATCAGTCCAGATAACACCTGGTTTTAGTGACACTTGGTGTAGGTAATACTTGGTCTGGTTATTACCTGATGTGTAACATCCCTGTTCGGACTTGCCCATTTAGGCTGATTGCGTGTCTGCGTCGCACCCGCACCGCATGGTTCTGCCCTCATCCCATTGCAGGTGGACGGCAAGCGCAACAAGGTGTACTGTCAGAACCTCTGCTACCTGGCGAAGCTATTCCTGGACCACAAGACCCTTTACTACGACGTCGACCTCTTCCTCTTCTACATCCTCTGCGAGTGCGACGAGCGCGGCTGCCACATTGTCGGCTACTTCTCCAAGGTACGCACTCGCCTTTGCATCCTGTGTTATTGGCGCTCTTGTTACTTTCTGGCCCACAAGCCAAGCCAAGGCGCTCTACTACGATGTGGACCTCTTCCTCTTCTCTTCTACATCCTCTGCGAGTGCGACGAGAACGGCTGCCATATTGTTGGTTATTTCTCCAAGGTGCGTTGCAATGCATGCTCCAAGGTACTCACTCGGCTATTCCTGGACCACAAGACCCTTAACTACGACGTGGACCTCTTCCTCTTTTACATCCTCTGCGAGTGCGATGAGCGGGGCTGCCATATTGTGGGGTACTTCTCCAAGGTACGCTGCAATGCAATGCATGTGCGAGGGGGGTCGACTGGACGCTTCCACTCTCCGACCTTGCTCTTTCCCCTTTTTTCTTGGTCATATCCAAAAGAAGACGGTCGGAGAGTGGAAGAGTCTTCTTTTGCATACGACCAATCTCGCTCTCCCCTCTTATCTTCCTTCTGATCCCAATCTTTCTCCCTCTTCCCGTCTTGGCACACCAGGAGAAGCAGTCAGAGGAGGGGTACAACCTGGCCTGCATCCTCACCCTCCGCTCTTGGTTCCCCTCATCCCCCTCATCCCCCTCTCTCTACCTGCCTGCCTCAATCTCAATCCTCTACAGGAGAAGCAGTCAGAGGAGGGGTACAACCTGGCCTGCATCCTCACGCTGCCGCCCTACCAGCGCAAGGGATACGGCAAATTCCTCATCGCTTTCTGTAAGCCACCCCAACCACCCGTGTCCGTGCAGTTTTGCCTTCAAATTTCTTTTCACGTTTTGTTTTTCAAGGCACCTACGAGTTGTGGCACGCAGTTGTCAAGAGCTGGGTGGGTGGAGCCTTTGAGACGTCTCAAAAACACCCTCTCTAGTCGTGCATTGCAAGAGCTGGGTGGGTGGAGCCTTTGAGACGTCCACGTCTCAAAAACCACAAGGTGACTTTTGAGTCGACTCAAAAGTCACCTCGTTACTATGGCACACGACGAATTCTCAAAAAACACAAGTTGTCAAGAGCTGGGTGGAGTCTTTGAGATGTCGCAAAAACACCCTCTCTAGTCGTGCATTGCATTCCCCTCGTCCTTACCCCTTCCTATCCCAGTATATGACCTCCCAAAGGAAGGTTACTGCCTCCACTTCCCTCCTCTCCCCCCGCATCCGCTCTCTCCACTCTTCCCATACGAATATCTACGAAACAGACACCATTCCCCTCTACAACCCTTCCCTTGCCCCGCCACTCTCTCCCCTCTTTCCCCCAGCATATGAACTTTCCAAGAAAGAGGGCAAAGTAGGCACACCAGAACGCCCCCTGTCTGATCTTGGCCTCCTAAGCTACGGCGGGTACTGGCTGCGCGTGCTGCTGCGCATCCTCAAGCACCACCGCGGCAGCCTGCCAATCAAAAATCTGAGCGACATGACAGGCAACAAGACAGGCTTACTTAGTCCCCTTCCCTCCCACATCCCCTCCCCCTATACCTGTGCCTTCCCTCCCCCTTCCCCACCACAAGCGTACGAGCTGTCAAAAAGGGAGGGGAAGGTGGGAACACCGGAGCGACCTCTGTCTGATCTCGGACTGCTGAGCTACAGGGGGTACTGGCTGCGTGTGCTGCTGCGCATCATCAAACACCACCGCGGCAACCTGTCGATCAAAGAGCTGAGCGACATGACAGGCAACAAGACAGGCTTACTTAGTCCCCTTCCCTCCCACATCCCCTCCCCCTATACCCGTGCCTTCCCTCCCCCTTCCCCACCCTTGCCTCCCCCCATCCCTGTCCCCACCACAAGCCTACGAGCTTTCGAAAAAAGAGGGTAAAGTCGGAACACCCGAGCGCCCTCTCTCCGACCTGGGTTTGCTGAGCTACCGCGGGTACTGGCTGCGGGTGCTGCTGCGCATTCTGAAGCACCACCGCGGGAACCTGTCGATCAAGGAGCTGAGCGACATGACGGGCATCAAGACAGAGGACGTCATCTCCTCGCTGCAGTCGCTGCACCTCATCCAGTACCGCCGCGGGCAGCATGTCATCTGTGCTGACCCCAAGGTGCTGGACCGACACCTGAAAGCGGTGGGAAAGCCGGGGCTGGAAGTTGACGTTTCGAAGCTGATTTGGACGCCGTACAGGGAGCAGGGGGGGTGAGTGGTACATGGGTGTGTGTGTGTGGGTGTGTGGTCGGGTGCGTGTGTGAGGGGGGTGCAGGGGGGAGGGAAAGGATCTTCGGGAGTGTTTCTCAGTGGTTCATGTTGGATTGGAGTGTGTCCTGTGTAAATACTGTATTGTGTAGTATATATATGAAAGACCTACAGGGTTAATGATAAGGCCCTTCCGGATTCTGTTTGTCTTGATACAAGGCCTGTGCATAGTGATTGTTCGGATAATGGGCACTTGATGATCAAGAGCCTGTACTGATTGCTGCTACGGTAGTAGGAAATAACAGACTAAACTGGTACGGTAGTAACAAATGTTGGGCGGATTGCGGACAGCCCAAAAGCATGTCAAGGTTAGTACCGTAAGCAGACTAAGTCCCCAAAGACACTAAACAAGCTTCTCTAAGCATACGATATTCTGCCACACGTTTACTGCGCCACAAGCCAATCAACTTGGGTGACAACGGAGAGGGGTCAGCTCAGCACAGGACGGACTCAGATGACCCAGCAGGAGCATGAGCAGTTTGCTTGCCCACCACACCATCCACATCCCTAGACGCTGAAGGCAGCAAAAACCATTTCCCTGCCCTATTTTGGCTGAATGACCCTAAGACGGAGAGGCATCAGCAAAGCACGGACTCAGATGACCCAGCAGCAGCATGGGCTGTTTGCTTGCCCACCACACCATCCACATCCCGACCGGGCGGCACAAAGAGCAGATCGCCCCATGGCGAATCCTCCTCGTTCTTCTGCACACGGGGGCATGGAGGAGAGACGAGTGAGGGACGGTGTAGAAGACAGAAGAGTGTGGTTGTTGTGGTGGCTCGTATGCTTGTATGTGTAAGAGAGAGAGATTGACAGGACAGTGGTGATAATAGGAGGGTGTTAACAAGATGGAGTCTTATATATGTGTGTGTGTACGGTGTAAGTGCGAGACAGATAGACAGTGGCGGTGATGTATAAGGGTGCGTACCTCCATCTTCTTTAGCACGTCCTCAAAGCTCCCCACCTGATGGGGCATGGCATGTCATTCATGGATAGGACGGGATGTGGGAAGGCATGGCATGGGGAACGGGGCCTGGAGCATGAGGAGGAGCATGTGACATAGGAAGGAATTGGGAACGAGAGGGGAACGGGGCATGGGACACGAGCAGCAAAGAGCAACACGGTGGATGAGAGGATGCCAGGGAAGGGGAGGCATGCAACACATGCCAGGGAAGGGGAGGCATGCAACACATGCCTTCCTCGCAGCGCACACCTGCACGTTAATGCTGACAAGGCCTCTTCCCTGCGTTATTTTGTGTGTTTCGAGACGTCTCAAAACTTTAGATCAGAATGAAGCCACATTGTGAGCCCTCACTAACCTGCACGTTAATGTTGACAGGCCCCTTCCCCGTGCTCTTCTGAGGCTTCCCCCCCGTTGCCTTCCTTATTGCTGCCTCTAGGTCCTCCTGCAGGCACGTGCCATACATACATGGGTATACATATCCATGAGCAGGTACACGGGTATACATACATGGGTATACATGTCCATGAGCAGGTACACGGGTATACATGCATGGGTATACATGTCCATGAGCAGGTACACGGGTATACATACATGGGTATACATGTGCACGATGTGCACATGCAAGCATTAGCACATTGAGGACACGGAAATGAGGAACAATCACTCCTTGATCCTTTTGAGGTGCCACAGAAGTGAATCCGCAATCAGCCCATGCAGATTGGGGTGCGGCGGAGTGAAGAGGAGGAGGAGAGGAGAGGCATGCGGCATGTTGGTGAGAGGCATGCGGCCTGTTGGTGAGAGGCATGCGGCCTGTTGGTGAGAGGCATGCGGCCTGTTGGTGAGAGGCATGCGGCCTGTTGGTGAGAGGCATGCGGCCTGTTGGTGAGAGGCATGCGGCCTGTTGGTGAGAGGCATGCGGCCTGTTGGTGAGAGGCATGCGGCCTGTTGGTGAGAGGCATGCGGCCTGTTGGTGAGAGGCATGCGGCCTGTTGGTGAGAGGCATGCGGCCTGTTGGTGAGAGGCATGCGGCCTGTTGGTGAGAGGCATGCGGCCTGTTGGTGAGAGGCATGTGGCCTGTTGGTGAGAGGCATGCGGCCTGTTGGTGAGAGGCATGCGGCCTGTTGGTGAGAGGCATGCGGCCTGTTGGTGAGAGGCATGCGGCCTGTTGGTGAGAGGCATGCGGCCTGTTGGTGAGAGGCATGCGGCCTGTTGGTGAGAGGCATGCGGCCTGTTGGTGAGAGGCATGCGGCCTGTTGGTGAGAGGCATGCGGCCTGTTGGTGAGAGGCATGCGGCCTGTTGGTGAGAGGCATGCGGCCTGTTGGTGAGAGGCATGCGGTCTGTTGGTGAGAGGCATGCGGTCTGTTGGTGAGAGGCATGTGGTCTGTTGGTGAGAGGCATGTGGTCTGTTGGTGAGAGGCATGCGGTCTGTTGGTGAGAGGCATGTTGAGGAGCAGGAGAGGGGAAAAACTGTGTTAGCTATCTGGTAAGGAAAGAACCGTACATGCTTTCGACGCTGTTTCAAGACAGGTGCCGCGATAAAAGGAGCAGTGTCAAACGCTTGGAAGGAAGTGGGTGGGTGAGTGATTGTCACGGTGCCTTGGTGAAGCAGATGGGCAGAAACGGCAATCATTGGACAAAATGATTCAGACTCTCTGACTGCAAAGTGGAAGGCGCGTTCTGAGAAGTCTCCGATCATATCATACCTTGGTGAAGAAGATTGGGCAGAAGCGGCGGTTCTTGGATCGGAGGATGAGACTCTCTGACTGGTGCATGGAAGAAGCGGGGGACACGAAATGAAAGGGAGACAATTCTTCGCAGCGCCTAAGAATTCGTCTCACTACATGTAGAGTGGTGCGTGGGAAAGTGGTGCGACGAGATTGAACCATCAAATGCAGTCAAAAAGGCAGGTTCACCCCTCCCATGCCTGAAAGGCCTCCCATGCCTGGAAGGCAGGTTCATGAACTCCCATACCTGGAAGGCAGGTTCACGTTCACCCCTCCCATACCTGGAAGGCAGGTTCACGTTCACCCCTCCCATACCTGGAAGACAGGTTCACGTTCACCCCTCCCATACCTGGAAGGCAGGTTCACGTTCACCCCTCCCATACCTGGAAGGCAAGTTCACGTTCACCCCTCCCATACCTGGAAGGCAAGTTCACGTTCACCCCTCCCATACCTGGAAGGCAAGTTCACGTTCACCCCTCCCATACCTGGAAGGCAGGTTCACGTTCACCCCTCCCATACCTGGAAGGCAAGTTCACGTTCACCCCTCCCATACCTGGAAGGCAAGTTCACGTTCACCCCTCCCATACCTGGAAGGGAGGTTCACGTTCACCCCTCCCATACCTGGAAGGCAGGTTCACGTTCACCCCTCCCATACCTGGAAGACAGGTACCCCATCAAATGCCTTGCTGTTGTCACCTGCTTGCGACCTCAGCTGGTGGTGCGCATGGGATTGGAATTAGGATTGGGAATGGCATTGAAGTTGGGATAAGGACAAGGGAATACCAGGAATGCTGGCCGTGACATTTCAAGTACATGCAAGAGTCAACTTGTTGTGGGAATGGGGTTGATCGGATCGGGGCAATGCAGACGGGCAGCAGGGAGGGACGAAGAGGTGCAGAGAGACTCACGAGCACGGCGTGTTTGACTTGAAGGGGGTCGGGCAGGAAGCGGAAGGCGATCCCCTCAGCTGACAGCGCATACACCTGTGGGTAATGGTTCGGTCACGATGCCGTAATGGATTTCTTTAGTGGACTAAAAAATCGGGTCGGGCAGGAAGCGGAAGGTAATCCCCTCAGCTGACAATGCATACACCTGAGATTGGATCACCATGCGGTGATCAGAAAAAATAATGTGATTAAATGAGGGAGAGAGAGAAGGGAATTCCTTATTTTATCCTTATCACATTAGGGGGAAAGAGGGGACAAAAGGGGCGGGGGAACAGTGGATGTAGTGAGATGTCTAGTTCATATATATGTGAAGAAAACACCCCTGAATGTCCACATATCGAATGCACCCTACGGCAATAGCATCTCAATTGCTGTAACCATACTAATTATCCAATCTCCTTACCCAATCTTAATCTCCTAGCTCTACATAATCTCCTTACGTCCAATGCCTCACCTTATCCATGGCCACAGGCACCACACGAGCTCCCTTACCCAGCGAGGCGTCACGATCCTTCACCTGCCCACATTGTGACGTGGCACGGGTTAGCAGGGCGTGGCATGACATGGCATGACGTGACATGGATTAGCAGCATGGCCTGAGAGGGTAGCTGCGACCATGGGTAATGATGTGCATGTGTGGCCATGGCCATGGCCATGGGCAAGGTTAGTAACTTGTGTTCGGAGTTGTGAAATTAGTCAATGTTGTAGCTGACACAGGTATATCGAAATCACTTTTGAGAATTCTCAAATGTGAAATTAGTCAATGTTGTAGCTGACACAGGTGGTTACCCGTTATCCCCCCTCCAGAAACCCTCTTCCCCTTTCCCCCCTCCCCTCCCCTCCCCTCCCCTCAACCCCCCTTCCCAGGACGATGCATCAGAGCCATTCGAAAGACATCCCACCTGCGCCGGCCCACCTGCGCCATCCCACCTGCGCCGACCCACCTGCGCCGGCCCACCTGCGCCATCCCACCTGCGCCGACCCACCTGCGCCAGGAGCGTTTCCGCGTCCTCCTTGCGGAAGCAGAACAGCCCGATCGACTTGCTGCCCTCCGCGTCCGTTATAAGAACGAACTCGTTCGCCGCGTTGCTCACGGTGTACACCGCCAGGCCTTCCAGTCGCTTTGCCACCTGCGGTGCGGACATGGCGACGTCAAACAGATGCCTCGCTCCCCCGTCGTACGCGTTAGTGCCAACTGCGGTAGCAGACGCAGCGTCGAAACCGCGTAGCGACGACGTAATGGACGCGAAGCACGGAGCACGGAAACCCTGCTGCTGGCTCCTAAACTCCTCCGCATTCAACGGGAAGGATTTAACTCTCTCGATTCCCGCCATTGCGTGACGAATCGCTCCCTGCTTGTGCTTCTCGATCTCCCCGGCGCAGAATTCCCGGAACCTATCAGCTTCGAGCCGTCTGTCGCGGGCCCATGCTGCCAGAGGCGCTGCGAGAGATAAGGCGCTTTGAAAGTTGCTCTGCACAGCGCTCTGGACATTTTGAGCGAAAGCGGGGAGTCGCCGCTGCTGTGTTACCCCGTCCATCGAGCGAGTCTCCATTCGCACTGTGTTCGCGAAGAGATTGATCGAGGAAGATGTGTGATGACGATGAATTATGCAGGACCACGCGTGGGTCAGCGCGAAACACGGCGGTAGATTCGTGTCTGACCAGCTGGAGAGAAGGATCAGGGGGGGGAGACAAACAACAAATCAGGAGAGTGTGCGATACTGAGCTCTCCAATATGTGTCATACAGATTGTGAAACTTCTTTATTCAGTTCTGAAATATCTCTTTGTTTCCTAACGTACTGCAGTGCTCTACACACACTACCCCCTCAGCTGATCGTCAGGTGATGTGAGAGCGTCACCTCATGAAAATAACCCATTTCTGGTTCGGCACGGTTTGTTATATATTTAGCGTGTTATGGTGCGATACAATAGTATCAGTGATGTGTAGATCTCCTTTAGGGTAACCGGAAAGCACAGACTCGTGTAGCCTATTCGCTCGCGTGTGCTCTGTCATCGTCAGGCAGCTGCGTAGTCGGAAAGCGCAGATGGGTTTCGCCAACGTCCCCGCGCACTCAACCGAACAGTTTCCCCTCCACCCCGCCTGTCTCCCTCCACCCCGCCAGTCTCTCCCGCTTCACCGACCATCCTTGCTCTTTTTCCCCCTTTCCCCCTTTTCCCCCTTTTCCACACTCACCTCTCCTCCCTGGCTCCCTGCACAGCTCTCCCATTCCGCCAATCTCTTGTTTCCCCCTGTTGCCTGCACAGTTTTTCGCGCCTTCCCTCGCCTCGAACTTTTCACCGATCACTTCCTCCGAACCTGTTCACGCGCTCTCCCCCGTGTTCCCCACCGCGACTCCTTCCCTCCCTCCGCTTTCCTCCCCCGCTACCCTCCCCGTGCTTTTCACAGCTGGTTTCCATCCAATCAAAATACTCGTTCCTTCCACAGTCCCTTCGTGTCGCTTTCTGTCTGCTGCCTCGGAACCATTCCAGAAGAGTTGAGCTTCTCTATTCTTCAGCATTTTCTTGTCCGCCAAATCTAGGTCTTTAGCTCCTATTTTCTGAGTACTTCACGACGTTGAAAGTCCTCGGCTATGTCGGGATTCACCACGAAGGGCCGGCCGATAGTCCCATCGTTCGGCCTATGGCGAACCGGCGGCAGCGAGGGTCCGACAGACGCATCGTCAATCTCTCAGGTGTTTCGGGAGGCGGGTAAGAAAGCACTGCAGGCGAAGCAGCAGCAGCAACTGGCGTTAGAACCGTACGAGGATAGCGAGAAGACCGCTATTAACGGACCTTTCTCCTCTTCTTCCTCCTCATCGTCCTCTGCTGCTACCCACCCTTCCTCTGATTCCCATTCCTCTTCCGCGTCCCACCCCCCAGTACCATCCCACCCTTCCACTGCGCCGTACCCTGCCATAGACCCATACCCTTCCGCAGCAGCCAACTCGTTCGTCCTGTCAATACCGCTTCAAGCAGGACCTAAAAACGCCACACACTCGCCAACTTCTGAGTCGACTCAAAAATCGCTGCAAGCAGGACCCAAGAATGGCACCCATTCTCCAACCTCTCAAGTCCACCCCACCGCACCCGAATCAAGTCCAATCCTTTCGCGTCGCCATGCTCTCGCGTCGTCTCCCACGCGCCTCGATCCCTCTAAAAACCCGACCTTGGAGCCGCACCCAGCCACGGCTCGCTCTCCGCACTCGTCGCCGCACCCTCCGGCGTTTTCAATCAAAGCGACCGTCGCGTCGCTCGTGGGAAGCGTCAACCTGCTCAGCCTGAGCGACAGCTACGCTGCCGGCGACGCGTCGACAATATCCGCCGTGTTTCGCGACAAGAAGAAAAAAATCCTGCAGGAGAAGCAGCAGCAGAAAGGGCTGTTGCTCCTCTCTCCCACACGCGAAGACCCGTCCCCTCCCTCAGGTGCTCCTCCAGGTGCTTATTCAGGTGCCATTCCTAGTAAAACCGAGCCTTCACCTGCGAGGGCTGTACCGGCTGCGGAGTCCCTTTCTCTGCTCAGCCTGAGCGACAGTTACGCCGCAGGCGATGCGTCGACGATATCCGCCGTGTTTCGCGACAAGAAGAAGAAGATCCTGCAGGAGAAGCAGCAAAAGGGTTTCGCTCTCTCCCCCACTCGAGAGCCGGCTGCCGTTGATGCTGCTCAATCTTCTCATGCTGAGACGGTTCAACGGTCATCTGTTGAGGCTGCTCAACGGTCCCCCCCGCGAAACTCATGGTCGGGAAACTTGAACGCCGTGCACCCGGAAACTCCAGCGGTAGTTCCCACGTGGCATCCTCATCAGCTTCAAGGCGATCCGTCTGACGTGGACTCAGACGCGTCGACGATTTCTCTAGTTTTCCGGAATATGCGACACAAAGCGCGGCAAGAGCGGCAGGAGCGGGAATCAAAGGAGGCTGGAGTTGGCGTGAGAGTACAAGCGAGCACAGGAGCACAAGAGCTAGCAGCAGTAGAATCAAGAGCAACAGGCGTAGCAGCAACGGCGTTAGCAGAAGCAGAAGCAGCAGGTCTAGCCGCAGAGGGCGAAGCGTATCCCGCCTCCCCAATACACGCTCTCGCGAGCCCCAACCGTCCCGAATCCAACCAACCAGCCGTCGATCTCTGGCCGTCTAGCTCGCCGGCCGCAGCAGCAGGGCCGGCGGGGGAGAACGTGTCGCTAGTGTTCTGGTCGCGGCAGCAGGAAGGGCAATCTGGGGAAGCCGCCAAGACGGCGAAGTTTGGAGAGAGAATCCGGAAGAGTGCAGGCGACGGTGAGGGGAATGCTTTGGGAAGTACTGCGGAAGGAGCTGGGATAGTGAGGGGAGCAGGAGGAGGAGGAGAAGGCGAGCTTGAGGCGTCGTTTAGAGCGTCGCACCCGCCTCAATCCGCGGCGCATGGGACGGCGCAGGAAGGAGCGCAGGCGACGGGGGTAGAGGCGGCGCAGGCGGCGCAGGGGGCGGAGGCGGCGGAGGGGGAGGGGGAAGGGGCGGAGGGGGCACAGGCGGAGGAAATCGACGAGGACGTGTTGCACGCGTGCGTGGATCCCGCGTACGCGGACCCGCGGCGCCAGTTCATGTCCAACCCCACGTGCTCGCTGGACGAGGCGTTTGACGCCATCCTGCAGAACATGGATAGCGGCCCGCTGGGCTCTGACGCGAGGGCCACGGCCCAGGTGAGATTAAGACTTAGAGAGCTGATGACCTGGAAATTTAGAGAAGCAAACCTCATGTGCTTGCTGGGCGAGGCCTTTGACGCCATTCTGCAGAGCACGCCGGACAGCGGCCCGCTGGGGGCTGAAAGGAGAGCTGCAGCCCAGATGCAATACGGATCAATCATCAGTAATGCCTTTAAACGATAGAAAGGCGAATCCCACGTGTTCTCTCTGTGCAATCACCTCATGCTCTTGACATCCCCGTTTGCCACGCTGCTTCCATCAGGCTAGCCTGCAGTCACCGTTCGAGGAGCTATTGGAAGGGAGTGAGTCTCCCAGCCCAGAGCATAACCACGGCCACCAACACCAACACCACCAGCAGCAGCAGCCACAGCCGCTGTCCCCGCAGCACGCTCGGCCGAAGTCGGAGCAGCGCAGCAGGGCTCGGCGAAGCATGGATGACAACGAGGCAAGGACGAGCGGGCGGCAGCTTCAGCTGCCCCTCCCGCTCCCCCACCGCGCCCAGCAGCAGCAGCAGCAGCAGCAGCAGGAGCAGCAGCAGGAGGGGGGTCAGGTGGGGCTGCGCGGGCTGAAAGCGCGCAGCAGGGCGTTTGTCAACAAGGTGATTACAAAGCTGAATGGGCGCGCAGGCATGGGCAGCAGTCCAGTGTCTGTGAGCATTTTAAACAACCAGCTGGGCCCCGTCAGGAGTGCGGAGGTGGGCATGGTGGGCTCGCCTCGCAACGCTGCGTCAGTGCTTCCTTCGTCCCGAAGCGTGCAGGGCGAGGCGGAACGCTGGCAGCCGCGTGAAAGAAGTTGATTTTTGAAACGTCTTAGGAACCAGGAGTGCGGAGGTGGGGATGGTGGGCTCGCCTCGCAACGCTGCGTCGGTGCTCCCTTCGATTAGAAGCGTGCAGAGCGAGGCGGAACTCTGGCAGCCACAGCAGTAGCATAGGCAGCAGCAGCAGCAGCAGTGACAGCAGCATTGGCAGCAACAGCGGGGACAGCAGGAGTGACAGGAGCATCAGCAGCAGTCACCACTGGTGCCTGTGTAGCTGCCAGGCATGAAAGGTGCAGCATTAATCTTGTTGCGACCATCATCTTCATCGCTGTCACTATCCTCATCCCCACAGCATCCGCAGCAGTGGAAGCAGCAGCATAAGCAGCAGCGGTAGCAGCAGCAAGAGCAGCAGCAGTAGCAGCAGCAGCAGCAGTAGCAGAAGCAGCAACAAGAGCAGTAAGAGCAGCAGGGGTAGCAGCAGCAGCAAGAGCAGCAGGAAAAGCAGCAGCAGCAGTTGTCACTTTTCAGGCTGTCTAAGCCATTCATCAGTTGTCAGCAGCTTCAAGCGTTGCCAGAAAAGAGCTAGTTGCAGTGCACTTCGCTATCGATAGGATTATGTATATGATGGTGCCATGCATGGCATACACTCGAACAGTTGCCAATGGTGCATGAACAATTAGGTTTTGCGAAATGTAGCAGTCGTGTAGCTGGTATGCTTCTTGGAAGTGCCTATGCCCTGGTAAGTTAGGTTTTACTAAATTTTGGCGTTTCAGTATGATGATGCGATCCTAATACCGTACGAGAGCGTTAATGGAAGTAGCAGGACCTACACGGTACTATTTAGCATGGACTAAAAAGTCCCTCACCCACCCCGCTACCCCCCTCCGCCAAATCACGCACTCAAATGCTGGCTGTATTGTGTTTCACTGGTAGTGCTCCTCCCCCCAAGTCTTCCAGTACCACAGCTGCGCTTCCTTCCACCACCATTACAGCCCCCCTGCATCTTCCTCTACCCCACCTGCCTCTTCGGCCTCCCCGCCTGCCCCATCCTCTTCCACCACCCCTGCAGGAGCTCCCCTGTTAGGCGCTGCCCGGTTGAATCCCTCCAGCATCGCTCTCAGCCTGCTCGCTTCCTCCCCAAGCCTCTCAAACAGCCCCTCCTCCCCCGCTCTCCACCCCCACTGGCCCGCCTGGTCAAAGAAAGGGCAGATGCGCAGGGGGGTGGAGGAGGAGGGAGGAGGACTTGAGAGAGAACGAGGACCGGCAAACGAGGCTGCTGCTTGCCCGCACTCTACAATCGTGCACCTCAGCAGCCGCGGCCTCCTTTGTCCACAGTGATGCTGCAACGTTTTCGAGGCGCCTTAGTAGATCCATCACTTGCAGATTTGATGCTGTAGTCTGTCTGTCACGTGACGGCACGAGAGGGTTCCGGGTGCCCCTAAAAACGCTACTGGTCGGCCCTAATCACTATCCGTTGGCCCCAAACACTCTCACAGAGTGGTCCTGTCAGTTGGCGCTAGGGGGGGAAGGCGGGGCGAAGAGAGCGGACTGGCGGCGCTGCAGGAAGCGCCAGAAGGGGGTCCAGTTGCCTGGCAGCGGTGCTGCGCGGTTGAATGCGACGAGCAGCATTCTCAGCCGCGCTGCCTCGCCATCAAGCGAGTCGAATAGGTCCGACTCGCCCGCCCTCCACCCCCACTGGCCCGCCTGCGGAAGAGGGAGCAGAGCGGAGATTCACAGACACAAGTAATCGGAAAATGCAGCAATATGTAGCCCACCTGCAGAGGGTGCAAGGAGGGGTTAGGGGGATGCAGCCTACCAGCACACATGCATGGGCTAGCTCCCTGCTCATCCTTCTTGTGTCGAGACGTCTCAAACCTCCCTGCTCATCCTTCATGCGAGAAGGAAGTTGTCGAGCCCCATCACGTCCTGCAGCTCAATCACGGTGGTTCATGTGTGCGCTACAGGTGACACCTGAGCCCCATGCCTGATCCATAAAACCTGAGCCCCAACCGCAACCCCAACCCCAAGCCCAACCTGCACGGCCGGCACGTTCATGCGCGCGTTGTTGTCCAGTCCCATCACGTCCTGCAGTGCAGATCTTTAGTAGCACCTGAAACCCCACACTTCACCAACCTGCACCTCCAAGGCACACTACCTACCTGCACGGCTGGCACATTCATGCGCGCGTTGTTGTCCAGTCCCATCACGTCCTGCAGTGCAGATCTTTAGTAGCACCTGAAACCCCACACTTCACCAACCTGCACCTCCAAGGCACACTACCTACCTGCACGGCTGGCACATTCATGCGCGCGTTGTTGTCCAGTCCCATCACGTCCTGCAGTGCAGATCTTTAGTAGCACCTGAAACCCCACACTTCACCAACCTGCACCTCCAAGGCACACTACCTACCTGCACGGCTGGCACATTCATGCGCGCGTTGTTGTCCAGTCCCATCACGTCCTGCAGTGCAGATCTTTAGTAGCACCTGAAACCCCACACTTCACCAACCTGCACCTCCAAGGCACACTACCTACCTGCACGGCTGGCACATTCATGCGCGCGTTGTTGTCGAGTCCCATCACGTCCTGCAGTGCAGATCTTTAGTAGCACCTGAAACCCCACACTTCACCAACCTGCACCTCCAAGGCACACTACCTACCTGCACGGCTGGCACATTCATGCGCGCGTTGTTGTCCAGTCCCATCACGTCCTGCAGTGCAATCACGGTGGTGCGCGCTACAGACGACACCGCCGCCCGGATGATCGCCCACTGGATCTCGTCCTCGTCCTGGGGCGACAGGCCCAGCAGCACGCGCACCTGGTATGGGGGGTTGTGTGGACGGGGAAAGAGGGTAGATTGTGGGTGGTTGATGGAAGAGGGAAGGGATTGACCCACAATGCACCTTATATAGCCTGCCTTGAGAAATCTCAAGAATATCATGCCCGGCAAACAGGCTATGGGAAAGTCATCATGATGTCCACCAGCATGCAAAGAATGTTGGTGGACAGCATGTGTGGCATGGTTGAGATGGTGGTGGCATGTAGGGAACTTATGGCATGTGTGTGGAGTTGTTGCTACGATTGATGACATGACACGACGGCATGACTCACGTTGTTTTTCTCCCACTCGGGAATTCGCTCCCACCAACCAACGACCTGCACATGCAAACAGAAAGATACACACACAACACAGGCAGAACGGTCACATGTGCACGCAAAGGCATATTTGACATAAAGCTTTGAAACATCTCCAAAAAGAACACAGGACATGCACGCGCAGCCCCAGTCACCAGCAGCATGCATTCTGCTGTTGGTGATCATACAGTTCCCACACACAAAGAGCAAGTATGTGCACCAGCCCCGGCCTCATACGCACCGTGTCATTGTCATGAGTGCCAGGATACACCACTTGGTTCTGCTCGCTGGGTGGTATTCGTTTGCACCAAGTTGCTGCTAAGTATACAGTCTCAACGCTACTCACAGACAGCATCCCTGCCCACGCACCGTGTCGTTGTCGTGAGTGCCAGGATACACCACTTGGTTCTGCTCGTGGTTGTGCGGCAGGTGAGGGTTCTTGGCGTCACTGCCAAACGCTGCGACAAGAATGGGAGAGGAAAAAGGTGGGATGGGGTGGAGTGGGGTGGAGGCACGTAAATGTCATTATCGAGGTGCTTCTAGAAGAGAATGTGGGTTATTGGCACTGGTGCCGAAGAATCCTGCAAGGAGAAGGGTGGGTCGGAGGGACAACTAGAAGTGAAGTAGTCTTTTCGCCAGGGGGTGCATTGAGCGACAACCGTGACGAGTAGCTTAAGTGGGTGACTGTAGCATTGACTCACCAAACTGTGGCACTGCCATGCAAGAGTGCCTACCTCTGGTTTCTTTTAGGCATCATAAACGCTTTTGAGGGGCATCGAGGTGGTTTTTTAGCCCCTCAAAAACCACCTCAGTGCCTACCTCTGGTTTCTTATAAGAAAAGCTGGCATCATAAACGCTTTTGAGGGGCATTGAAAACTGCCACGGACTCACCGAACTGTAGCACCGCCATGCCAGGAGCGCCGATTTCACGGCGCAGATCAACCACGTCCACCGTAATCACACCCTGTTGCAGTCACATGTTGCAACGGGCGGGGTAGTGGAAACAAAACTTGTTACAGAATTAGAGTGCAAAAACTTGTTACTTGTTACTTCTACGCCAGGTAAATTCTCATTCTCCTACACTACAGTCTCGTTCTTTCATGGTCTCATTTCCTCCCCTCGTCCCCTCGTCCCTCCCCCCTCACAGCTCTCCCCACCTCCCACCCTCCTCTCATTGCTCCACATCCCTCCTGCCTCTCTCAGTCAGTGCTCACCAAATCCTCTGCCACGATGTCAACGGGCTTGTCCACTGCCTTCCAAAAAACCCCGAAGAGCGCCGTGCAAGGGCCTCTACCCTCTACCCCTGAGCAGCTCTTCCCACATCCCTCCTCCCTCCCAGTTCTCACCAAATCCTCTGCCACGATGTCAATGGGCTTGTCCACGGCCTTCTGGATCGCCTCAAAGAACTCCTTGCGCGGCCCCATCTGGTGGGCGTGGTATGGCATCGCATGGAAGAGCAGGATTGAGCAAAACCCGAACACGGACGTGTTTGGGTCAAACGTGTATCAAACACGTTCAGTGGGTGACCTCAGCAAGCTCCTTGCGGGCGGCCCCATCTGGTGGGCGTGGCATGGAAGAGCATGGCATGCAGTGGGTTGGGAAGATCCTACCTGGAAGGCGCTCGACATTGGTTTGTGCAACGATTTTTTTGTGAAACGAAGAGGAAGGGAGGGACTGCATACAGTCTGAGTGCATGCCAGGCGAAACAGAGAGGACAAGGGCTTGCCGCCCCATGTAGGCACTTACATGTAAAAAGAAGAACACACACACACATGAAAGAAAGAAATTATGAAAAGGAAAGGAAAGAAAAGAAAAGAAAAGAAAAGAAAAGAAAATGAACCATTTGAAGCTTCTCACCATCCAGCGGCCGTTCATGGCGGTCTCAGAGTCGGCAGGGATGCTCCAGTAGCCCGCAAGGCCCCGGAAGTGGTCAATGCGGAACTCATCGTACAGGTCAAACGCCCTGCGCATGCGCTTCGCCCACCACGAGTAGCCATCCTTGGCCATGGCCGGCCAGTTGTACAGCGGGCTGCGAGGAGGGATGGGAGGAGGGGAGAAAGTGAGAGAGTGAAGGAATAGAAATATGCTACTTGTGCCTCATCCCATCCACAGATCCACCAAGAACACCCATGCTTGGCCATGGTTGTTCCCGGTGAATATTACTGCCAGGGTAGTGCGGTGACTTCTGAGTCGACCCAAAAGTCACCTTGGTCAAGGATGGCTGTTCCCGGTGAATACTATTGCCAGAGTAGTTGAAGGTGTCTCGAAATACAGTCTCACCAGGAACGGCTGTCGTGTTTTCGTGGCAGCAAAATTGCACAGGAGGCTGCGAGTAAGGAAAGAACTTCCCTCCCACCAGCCCCGCATCTGCCCTATGGCACACTAAAGGCACGGAAGGGCAGCTACGCCAGAGGCACCCACCCTGCATCCCACCCCGCAACCCCCCCTACTTCCCACACACCCCTCCTCCCTCTCCCCCTCCACCCCTAACCTGCCCCACAACCGTCCCTCACCTGCCCCACAACCGTCCCTCACCTGCCCCACAACCGCCCCGTGGCGCTGAAGGCATCGGGCGGCACGCCACTCACGAGTGACATTTGAGTTGACTCAAAAGTCGTCCCCCCCGCACCACACCCAACCCCCCCACCCTCCTCACCTGCCCCACAGCTGCCCCGTGGCGCTGAAGGCATCGGGCGGCACGCCACTCACGAATGTGGGCTCACGGGTCTCGGGATCCTGGTGGCGAGAGAAGGCGTGGTGGCGAGAGAAGGCGTGGTGGCGAGAGAAGGCGCGGTGGCGAGAGAAGGCGCGGTGGCGAGAGAAGGCGTGGTGGCGAGAGAAGGCGTGGTGGCGAGAGAAGGCGTGGTGGCGAGAGAAGGCGTGGTGGCGAGAGAAGGCGTGGTGGCGAGAGAAGGCGTGGTGGCGAGAGAAGGCGTGGTGGCGAGAGAAGGCGTGATGGCGAGAGAAGGCGTGGTGGCGAGAGAAGGCGTGGTGGCGAGAGAAGGCGTGGTGGCGAGAGAAGGCGTGGTGGCGAGAGAAGGCGTGGTGGCGAGAGAAGGCGTGGTGGCGAGAGAAGGCGTGGTGGCGAGAGAAGGCGTGGTGGCGAGAGAAGGCGCGGTGGCGAGAGAAGGCGCGGTGGCGAGAGAAGGCGCGGTGGCGAGAGAAGGCGCGGTGGCGAGAGAAGGCGCGGTGGCGAGAGAAGGCGCGGTGGCGAGAGAAGGCGCGGTGGCGAGAGAAGGCGCGGTGGCGAGAGAAGGCGCGGTGGCGAGAGAAGGCGCGGTGGCGAGAGAAGGCGCGGTGGCGAGAGAAGGCGCGGTGGCGAGAGAAGGCGTGGTGGCGAGAGAAGGCGTGGTGGCGAGAGAAGGCGTGGTGGCGAGAGAAGGCGTGGTGGCGAGAGAAGGCGTGGTGGCGACAGAAGGCGTGGTGGCGACAGAAGGCGTGGTGGCGAGAGAAGGCGTGGTGGCGAGAGAAGGCGTGGTGGCGAGAGAAGGCGTGGTGGCGAGAGAAGGCGTGGTGGCGAGAGAAGGCGTGGTGGCGAGAGAAGGCGTGGTGGCGAGAGAAGGCGTGGTGGCGAGAGAAGGCGTGGTGGCGAGAGAAGGCGTGGTGGCGAGAGAAGGCGTGGTGGCGAGAGAAGGCGTGGTGGCGAGAGAAGGCGTGGTGGCGAGAGAAGGCGTGGTGGCGAGAGAAGGCGTGGTGGCGAGAGAAGGGTGATCAATGAGGCAAGGGGAAGGGAGGAAGAATGCTGGATGGTGAGGAAGGGAGGTCAGGATGGGGTAGAGTTGGTGAGGTGACGTTCTCTCCGCATGAAAGAGCATCACAAGCACATGCAAACCGCCTGCCAGCACTGACGGCATAAACACCATACCAGCACACACAGCACACCCTACCAGCATGAATTGCTCCGGGTTCGCCCACGCGTCAGCGCTGTGGCCGCCCTCGTAGATAGGCATATCGCCCATAATGCTCCTGCCCTGCCCTTGAGCTGCTAGCAGGGGTCATACATCGGGGCCTCTACCACATGCGTGCAACAAATAACTTTTCAATGTAGAAACCGCGTGTAATGAGTCTGCTTTTGAGTCGACTCAAAAGTAGAAACCGCGTGTAATGAGTCTGCTTTTGAGTCGACTCGAAAGCAGCAGGGGTCATACATCGGGGCCTCTACCACAAGCGCGCACGAGCAACATGTGTATCAATCAACATTAACGGCCTACCAGCATGAATTGCTCTGGGTTCGCCCACACGTCAGCGCTGTGCCCCCCCACGTAGATGGGCATGTCCCCCATGATGCTGATGCCCTTGCTGTTGGCATACCGGTGCAGCGCCTGCCACTGCCTCTGGAATAGAAACTGCTGCGCCGCAAACTCGTCAATCTGTCATGCACACACACAGTGGGAGGGAGGGTTGTAGAGTCGATTTTACGAAGGGGACAGTGCAGCGCAGCGCCTACAACAGCCTCTGGAACAGAGGCCACAGCCACTGATAGAAGTTGTGTTTTGAGACTGTAGTTGTTCTCAAAATACAACTTCTATCACGTAGCGCCTACAACAACTACAGCCTCTGGAACAGAGGCCACAGCCACCGGAACTCCACCCCTTCCCTGCAAGTCGACTCACAACATGCCTATCTATTCTGCTCCACAGCACCACTCACGGTTTCCCTGTGTCTCCCCCTCGCAGCAGCCAAGGCCTGTGGCGCTCTGTCCTTGAGCTGCTTGGGCCACAGCCACCAGAACTCCTGAAGCACCTCGAAAGTAGAACTTCCCACCACTCACGTATTCTCTGTGTCTCTCCCTTGCAGCCGCCAAGGCCTGCGGCTCTCTGTCCTTGAGTTCCTTGGGCCACAGCCACCAGAACTCTACGCCCTGCTCTTTGAATCTACTCACGAACCTACCTAATCCTCTAAGCCGCACATTCTTCCCTGGCAGGACTCACGTATTCCTGGTGTCTCTCCCTTGCAGCAGCCAAGGCGTTGGGCTCTCTGTCTTTGAGCTCCTTGGGCCACAGCCACCAGAACTCCACGCCCTGCTCTTCGTCGATAGCACTGAACAGAGCTGCTTCCTCCAACCATGCTGCCATGGGAGAAGGGAAAAAGGGAGGATGCAACAGGAGAGGAGCACAGACTGTGCAAGAGGACATTTGAGTTGAGCCAAAGCTCTATCTTTGGATCTTCCCACCTATGGCGCGGCCTTTCTAGCTGAGGGTATTCAGAAAATATTAGAGGACCAATGAGAAGGAACGGTGCACATGGAACGGTGGCAGGGAGTGGAGAGGTAGAGGGCCGGACCAGAAGGGGACCCAACTGATGGACAGCTTGAGAGGGGCGAACTATGGAGGGGCGAAAATGAATGGAGAGCTTGATAGGGACGAGAGAGCTCGATAGGGACGAACCGGAGATGGTGGGGGATTGCCTGAAGGCGTCAAACTCCGCCTTGAGCTCTCCCTTGCTCCTCACCAGTGCCTTGGCTGCCTGTGCTCAGCAGAGATGGGGGTTTGTGGGATTGGAGTGAGTGAGGTGGGCGGACCATGGAGATGGTGGGTTATGTATTTTCAAATCACTCAATCTTTGCACTCAATAAGTGAGACGTCTCAAATCTTTTATCACTTGTGCCCTGGCCGTATGATGCAGCAAATGGAGGCATATGGCAGTGGTTTGAGGTGTGGTGAATCATCGTGGCAGCTATCTCAGCAGTGGGTTTGGACAGAGGTGAGATAGCTGCCACGATGATCCAGGTGATTGGCAAGAAACAGGGGAAAAAAAAGATCGAATAGCGCCAGGTAGACCACTAGGGAGAGTGATGACGCACCTTGGCAACAGCAGGGTCCTTGTCCCTGATCACTTGCTTATAGTCCACTCTCTCTACCGGGCTGTTGGGGAGGGATACGGGGTGGGAACCGGGGGAAATGGGAGTTGGGGGGAAGAGATGGAGAAGAAAACAAGATGGAATTCGGTAGGAAGGGAGGGAGCATAGGGCGTCGTAGGGAGGGAACATACCACGTGGGAGGGAGGGAGCATAGGGCGTCGTAGGGAGGGAACATACCACGTGGAAGGGAGGGAGCATAGGGCGTGGAAGGGAGGGAGCATACCACGTGGGAGGGAGGGAGCATAGGGCGTGGAAGGGAGGGAGCATACCACGTGGGAGGGAGGGAGCATAGGGCGTGGAAGGGAGGGAGCATACCACGTGGGAGGGAGGGAGCATACCACGTGGGAGGAAGTGGTCATATCGCGGACTAAATTCACTGCTCTTTGTGCGTACCGATTCAGAGCATAGCGCGTAGGAGGGAGGGGGCATACCGCGTGGGAGGGAGGTCCTCAGGCTTGAGGAGGCCATCTTGCACGAGCAGGTCGAGGGAGAGCAGCAGCGTGTTGCCGCAGTTGGCGTCCTGGCGGACGGGAGAGGGGCGTGGGGAGGGAGTGGGGGTTGGGGAGTGGGAGGAAGGGAGGATACGGAGTGGGAGACAGGTCGGAGGGGTCGAGACGCTGACCTCCACGGGCAGGTCAGAGGGAGAGCAGCAGAGAGTTGCCGCAGTTGGCGTCCTGGTGGACTGGGGCGTGAGGAATGGGGAGAGAGGAGTTGAGAAGAGAGAGGAAAAGCTGGAAAAGCGAAGGCGAGAGAGGCGGGAAGTGCAGAGACGATGGGGAAAGGTGAGCAGGCCCAGGCCTGATCGGCCCACATCTACTTCCAGGCCTGACATCTACTTCCAGGCCTGACATCTACTTCCAGGCCTGACATCTACTTCCAGGCCTGACATCTACTTCCAGGCCTGACATCTACTTCCAGGCCTGACATCTACTTCCAGGCCTGACATCTACTTCCAGGCCTGACATCTACTTCCAGGCCTGACATCTACTTCCAGGCTTGACATCTACTTCCAGGCCTGACCTTGACAGTTCTGATGGAGGGACGATGGGGAAAGGTGCCCAGGCCCAGGCCTGATCGGCCCACATCTACTTCCAGGCCTGACCTTGACAGTTCTGTACCTGACCAGAATTGGAAGTGCCGTACATGGTCAGCACAGGCACAGCCGTACCTGGCCAGCATAGGGGCTGCTGTACCTGACCAGCATAGGGACTGCCATACCTGGGCAGCATAGGGACTGCCGTACCTGGCCAGCATAGGGACTGCCGTCTTCGCCTGACTTCCTTCCAGGTGGCACCAGCGGCAGCACCTGAAAAGACATTGAAAAAAAGCGCACAGAAGTGGTAAGAAAACGCACAGGAACAAATGGATTGCACAGGACTGTTGAATAAATGCCCCGGGAATGAACAGAAGTATTAAGCAATGATCAGAATCAGAACTTGGAGGCTCTGAAATATCGTCGGATGCTCATGGATCCACGCTCCCACCCACCACCCACCCATCCACGCAACCATCCACACTTCCACGCACACACCCACGCGTCCAATCCCCCCAACCGATCACGCACCCACCCACTCAACCTCCCGCGCACCTGCCAGATCGTGCATGTCGTGGACTCGAGCCAGCTGATGAAATCCGAAGCAGCGGTCAACAGAATTCACACGCTCTGATGCGTCTCGAAACGTTCATGGATCTACCCACCCACCCATCACCCCACGGATCGGTCCACCCACCCACTTACTCACCCATCCATCCATCCGCTCACCCACCCTCCGCACGCACCTGCCAAATCGTGCATCCCGTGGACTCGAGCCAGTCGAGGAAGTGTGAAGGGATGGTCAGAATTCGAAACGTCCGTATGCCGAGCCACCCACGCACCCATCCATCCACCCATTTACAGATCCATGCACTCAACCACGCATGCACCCCCCCCCCCCCCCCCCCCCGCACCTGCCAAATTGTGCATCCCGTCGATTCGAGCCAGTCCAGGAACCTGAACGCGCCGGGACCGAGGTCGCCCGTGCCGTGCGGGCCGGGCAGCGACGTGGGATGCACCAGCACGCCGCACCGTCGCGCCGGGATCAGCGAATACGGATCCATCCTTTCGTAACCCTCTTGTAACGGCTCGCCAGGGAGGATTTCGCTGGTCTTCGCAGCGGCGGGGGTCGATGCTGGATCTGTCGCCATCGCGCGGACAGACTGCCGATCCGCGCGGAAAGATCGAGACGGCAAGCGGGAAATGGGGAAAGGGACGCGGAGAGGCGCGAAGGACGCTGATCTGAGGCGGGAATTTGACGAATCAACGGCTGAAGACGCGACCGATGCGACGGATGCGACGTGCGCGACGGGAAGTCGCAAAGCGGAAAGCATGGCTGTGCGGATCGCTGACTCGCGCAGAAGCACGCAGGAGCGAGATCTGATCAGGCGTCGTTTCCGAAACCAAGGTGGAGAGGAGTGCCCAACCAGATGGAATGATCGCTGGCTCGATTTCGAGGGTGCAGTACGTGACTGGCCTGTCGACAATACCAAGGCAATTCAGACCACCAGATTCTCGAGTTTCAACTTTCAAGGGACTTCGAGGGCGGGAACTGTAGATCCCAGGGCCGCCAAGATTCCAACATAGGAGACCAACTAGGCAGCGTCCTTGCAACCGCGATGTAAGCAGATCTGATGGCGGTAATACGTGTTGAGTTTACCCGGAACAATAAGAGAAGCACTAAGAACAAAAACTTGATATGGATTTGAGACTCTAAATGACTAGCCAAACTGTAAACATTTGCTTCCACCTACATTGAACATCAGTACCTAGGCTTATCATCTTCTCCCCACCCATTCCAATCTCTCCCCCTCTCCCTCTTTGTCACACCCGTGCCGTTACCACCCCCATCCTCACTCCATCGCTTTCCAGGTGCTTCCTCATTACCACTCCAACCCGCCTCCCACCTCGTCTCCCTCTCTGTACCATCACCCCTTCGCACCCCCCTCTCCCACTCTTGCTTCTCCTCCACCCTCCCGTACTGACCCTCTTCCCCCACCACAGCCTCACCCCTAGCCCACTGCCTGACATCGCTCTGCTGCCATCTCCCCTCATCCTGCCAGTCCCCATCGCCTGATCCTTGCCAGCTCCCACTCCTTCTGTAACCTCTGCCCTCTGGTTCAGATCCTCCCTGCCTTTCCCATTCCTGCCATTGCTGCTGCTGCTGCTGCTGCTGCTGCAATGGCCACTGCTCTCTGTCTCTCCAGTTCTCCTCCGTGCTACTGAATCCCCTACCCCCACCACCACCTTCCCTGCTCTCCTTCCCCACTCTCTCGGGACTGCCAGGGTCAATCTCCCCTCGGATCACGTCCAGCTGGTACCGAACCCACTCCCATGCCTCCGATGCAGCCCCCGAACCAAGCATTGGGCCACTCCCAATGCCCAAACCTGGGCCCAGCGTGTCATCCCAAACCTGTGGTTCCTTTCTCCTTTGAGAATCGCTGCTCTGTAACTGAGGCCACTGCCCCTGCTGCTGCTGCTGCTGCTGCTGTTCCTGAGTCTGCCGCCGTCTCTCTTTCCGACCCTGCAACTCCTTCTCGTTCACGATTGGCCGAACCGAGAGCTCCAGGAGTGCCGAGCCTAGCTCCAGGAACGGCGGGCCGAGCGTGTTTCGGAGGGTGGGAGTGAGAACCACAAGCGCCGCGAGGGAGAGGAAGAGCAAGGGGCGGTCGAAGAGCAGCGGCAGGAGAACCAGCACGAGCGGCACCCCCCAGGGGATGGACGTCAGCAGCTGGAGGAAGAGCATGGGGAGGGAAGAGCAAAGGAAGGAATTAGTAAGTAGTTGATTGAGCGGGTGGGCAAGGGGGAAAGGAAGAGGAAGGGGCGGTCGAAGAGCAGCGGCTGGAGAACCAGCACGAGAGGCGCGAAGCTGTTATGGACTTACCTCTTTCAATGGTTCAAGAAGGTCGTTGCTCTCCACTCCCCCTTCTCCTGCTCCTCCTCCCGCTCCTCTCCCCTTTCCCGTTTCTCCCTCCGGTGCTCTTCCAAACGGTCCGTCGCTGCGCCCATCCAACCTGCTATTCCACTCCTCTGCACCGTTCGCCACGCCTCTATCTGCCATCTGCATTCCTCCGCGACCCATTGGATCGCCTGCCTCGCCACTGCCACGGCCGTACGCGTTATACTCACGCCCACTATAGTCATAATCATAATCGTAACCTTGCTCGTCAGAGCCGCGTCGTACAGAATCCACCGGGGGGAATAGCCGCTGTTGCCATTCCGCGTCGGCACTTTCCCCAGCATCACCGCCACCCGAGTTCCGCCCCATCCCGCGCTCTGCAACACCGCCGCGAGCGCTCATCAATGCGCCATCCCCCATCCCTGACAACCCTCTTTCCCTCTCGCTCCCACGACCTTGGGATTGCCGCGACGGAGCCGCACCACCGCGAGACTCGTCATCGCCGTTCCGATCGGACGGCCGTCGCCTCCAGCCCTCCGCGTTTGAGTCCCAAAACGCCCTTCTTCCGCCGCCATTGCTGGCGCTGCGGCCGCTGCCGCCGCCGCCGCTTCCGGCGCTAGCCCTGGCAGTTTTGAAGGAACAGACTATGGGGAGGAGCGAAGGATGGCGAAGGTAGGGAATGGACGGAGACACATAGTAACCCATTTGAGACACACAGTACACATAACAAGAGGAACTAGATGTATCAAAAAAACATATTTAAATAAACATTTTACTTTGAGAAATTTAACAAGTCGGTGTAGTTTAGTGGTTAGAATCCCACGTTGTGGCCGTGGAGACCTGGGCTCGAATCCCAGCACCGACACTCTTGCTTTTTCTGAGTTCCCAAGTTCTGCTTTAAAACCGGAGTCCCAAACAGCCCCAAAGTGCCTCAACCTTCCTAACTTTGAGAGGGGGTGACCCAGTAGGTACGACTCACTTAGCAAATCGGGGGGACAATTTTGAAACTACTGGACGAAAGCAGTGACGATTTCGCCAACAAATTTGAAGCCCGTCCGAAACTGCCTGCGAACCAGTTCTGACGTTGCATTCCAGATCTGGTTATTTTTCGCGAAGTTTTCTTCCTTCGCGACCCCAGACCACCAATTTCTACGCCACCCTGGCTCGCGAGCCAGTCACCTTTCTCTCCCCTGTCAACCTTCCTTAGAAACTCTTGGACCTCCGGTTATAAGTGACAAGGTGGACTCGGTGGGCAGGCCAATCTTTGTGAGAGAGATTTACTGAAAGGGCTGAATCTGAATGTGTTATAATTGCTTTAGCATGTGTGACAATAAACTCCACCGTACGATAGAAGCAACAGCAGCAGGAAGGAAGCGTGATGCCTAGAGCAGCATGGAGCAGATGTCGCAGAGGAAACTGGCGGGAGGCTCAGAGAAACCCGCACAGCGTGTGTGTTGCCACACCTCACACCTGGTGGTGTGATGGGAGCAAGGCGAGGAGAGAGAGTGGGAGAGAATTTAGGGAATAGGCAGTAAGAAATGGAGAGGGGAGGGGAGAGGGAGAGGGAAGAGAGAACGGAGACGAGAGGAAGGTTTCTGCAAAAAACACAATCATGTGGAAGAAAAATGTGGACGCCAGATGGAGGAGGGGAGGGACGAAGACAGAACCAGTGACGGGTTTCTGCCCACGTGGCAACTCACTGCGAGTGAGCTCCATGCGCCTACAGAGAAGCCCAATAGTCGCACTGACCATCCACAATCTTTTCCACAGATAGGCCCCACTAACTTATCACATGCCACCACCAGTCCCACTGAGGACGCGTCACAAGTGAAACACCGATCCTGCACAAGATCGGTTTTTCGCGGCTACAGTGCATTAACAACGTCGTTAAGTGCTGGTTACCTGTTTTCGTCATCCGTCGCCAATGTACAGTTATCCCCTCGGAGTCGGGCGATCGATGTGCCCTTGTCGCACATCGATCGTGCAATTTCGTCCACATCGGGCAATTTTGCCCCATGATTCTCCGATCGTGTCACTTGGGGCTTGCGGTGGGCACGCGATTGCATGAAAATCAGTCGTGGCACACCGATGTGGCGATCGATTTGGCAGGATCGTGAACATCCCCGATCCTTCCTCGGTTTTTCACTTGTGACGCGTCCTGACCTAATCACGCACTGCCACCTGTCCCATTCACTCATCACCCGCCACCACCTGTCCCACTCGCCTATCAAAGACAGGCACCTGTCCTGCTCACCTATTACACGCCACCATCCATCCCAATCCCATATCACACGCTGCCACGTGTCCCACTCACCTATCACACGCTGCCACCTCTCCCACTGACCTGTCACACGCTACCCTCTGTCCCACTGACCTATCACACGCCACCCTCTGTCCCACTGACCTATCACACGCCACCCTCTGTCCCACTGACCTATCACACGCCACCCTCTGTCCCACTGACCTATCACACGCCACCCTCTGTCCCACTGACCTATCACACGCCACCCTCTGTCCCACTGACCTATCACACGCCACCCTCTGCCCAACTGACCTATCACACGCCACCATCTGTTCGCCGTCGTCATCCCTCGTGCCACAGCTGCACTCCACCACCCACCCCTCCGACCCTCCCTCCCAGCACAGGTCCGAGCCTGCATCCATGCCTGAGCCTCGGACCAGCAGAACACAGCAAGGGCTGAGGTTCAGCCGGACCAAGGCCGAGGGCTGTACATGAGCCAGGAGGGGAAGCTGAGATACACTGAATCTGGACATAGCACAGTAGGTATCCCTGTGGGGAGAGGAGTTGAAAGTCCGAAGGGAGGGGGAGGAAAGGGGGAGAACGAGAGGGTTGAGGAGGAAAGAGTGTGGAGGGAAGGGTATGTTCAGAAGGCTAACTGGTTTAAATTTATTTCCATTGGTAACGCTCTAAACCTTGCCTCATAATCCCTGCCATACACAAGGTCCCTCATACCCCTTGTTGCCTTACTCGATACTCCTTATTGCCTTACCTCATGGTCCTTTCTATCGCTTCGCTGAGTTGTGCCACAGTAGCATCAGTGGGCACCACCACATACTCCACCGGTATCGGCCCCAGCCGCCTCTGCCTTGACACAGGCTCCGCCCCTCTTGCTGCCACTGCTGCTCGTGCTCCTGCTGCAATTCCTGCTGTTGCCTCTTTTGCTCCTGCTGCGATTCCCGCTACTGTTGCTTTTGTTGTTGCTGTTGCTGCTGCTGCTTCTGCGAGTACTGATGTTGTCACTGCTGCTGCTTGCACAGCACCGGCCTTCTCGCCTGTTCCAGGCTCTGCCAGTACTCCAGTGATCGATTCTCCACCTGCACCTCCTTCAACTTTCAGTGCAGCAGCCTCTCTCTCCTTCCCAGCTCTTTCCTTCCTCTCCCCACTCCCCTCCCTCTCCTCCTCCTCTTCGCTCTCCTCCACCACCACTCGAAACGCCACACACATCAACCCATCCGATTCTCTCACTCCCACTCCGCGCCCCTCCTCCCCCCAGTACCCCTTCACCAAATGCTTTGTGTCCAGCACCACCCGCACCAGCGCCAGCAGCCCCTCTGCACCAGCTGCACCCGCACAGCCACCACCCCCACCAATAACGTTGCTGCCAGCATACAAAGGGTGGCACGGGCTAGCACGAGGAGGATAGATGCCTTTCTGCAGATGCCGGTTGGGAGGTAAGGCCATGCCAGCACAGGTATGAAGCAAGGGCCTGGCAGCAAAGGTGGGGTGGACGTGTCTGGCAGCGCCTTCAAGGAGGTTGCGGTAGAGGTAGCGCAGATGCGGCTCTACTGGGCTGCTCGTTGCTGCCAGCGTCACCACTGCCGCACCCTGCTGCTGCTTCTGCTGCTGGCTTGCTTCTTCCCCAGTCATAGGAGCAGCAACTGCCGCTCTTCCATGACTGAGAGTTGACGGAGACTTGAAGGCCTGCATTTTGCTAAAATCTGCCGCTTTACTAAGTGCCAGCGCTCTAGAACCCGTGCTCTTGCTGTGATTGAAATCCCCGCGTTGCTTGCCTTCTTCTCGCTCCCCTCCTTCCCCTCCCTCCCCTCCTCCTACTACACCACCCGTTTCCCTGTGTGGTCCAGCCCCTGTCTCGCCCTGAGCCCCGAACCCCACAAGCTGAGGGCCCCAGGGGGTCGGGAGAGGGGCAGAGAGCTTGGGAAATATCTCAATTGATGTCAACATTGGTGCAACATGCTGCTGAGACGCCTCAAAGGGAGGTGAGACAGAAGCAGCATGAATTTGAGGCGTTCCAGAAAACAGTGGGGGGGTTTGGGCTTGGGCTCCCCCACAGAAGAGGCTGGGCTGGAGGGCAGTGGGCTTGGGGAGAACGGGAGGAGGTGCAGGAGGGCCAGTGGGACAACTTGACGTAGCTGCTGCCAGTGTACTCCCCCCTGCGACCAAGCGAGTGGGACGTATGGGGCAATGATCCGCCTGCTGGGTTTCTGCATCTTCACCATCACCTTCTCGCCCCCTGCACTGCAACAACCTAGCGGTATTCTCCTCCACATGAATATCCAGCTCCCTTACATCCCCTTTTACAGTATCCTCTTCAGCAGAATCAGAACCTGTCCTTTCTACACGCAGCCCTTTTCTCTTCACTCCACTGCCCTCCAGCCCAGCGTCTCCTGGCCTCTGCCCTGACTCACAAACCCTTCTCGCCACTCTAGCCACCCGGCCACCCTCCCCACTCTTAACTCTCTTGCACTCCTGCTCCTCGCATCCTTCGCTTTCTCTCCTCACCTCCCTTTTCTCAACCCCATCCCTGTGTCTCCCCAGCCTCTCATCCCTCCCTACCTTCCGCTCCCTTCCCTCCCTCCCTTCCAACTCTTCCCTCCCCTCCTTGGTTCCTTCTTCTCCCACTCCCCCCTTCCTTTCCCAGTCTCCTTGCACCTCATCATGCACTGCCTCATTCTTCACCCTCTCTCTCTCCTGCCCTGCATCCGTCCTTCCCATCGCTGCCCCATCTCTCTCTGAAACCTCCCCAACCTCATCCACAGCCAGACTCCGAACTCCATTCCGTGGCCCACTGCCACTCCACTTCCCACTCCCACTCCGCTTCTCACTAAAATCTTCTGACCCAATACAACTCTTCTTGACTTCTGGGAACCGGCCGCCTTCCGTTCTTGCACCCAATGTCGACATTTGCTTCTGCACCCGAGCATGCGTGTGAGCCTTGCCATTTGCAGCAGCAGCACCAGCCGCAGCAGCACCGGCAGCAGCCACCGCAGCAGCAGCAGTGGCAGCGGCAGCCATAGGTGTACTAACAACTCCACCACCCTGACCAGCGTATTCCACCCCTTGATCGCAGCATCCAACCCGCAGTTTTCTCTCCTCTCTCTCCTGCCCTTTACCGCACTCCTCTTCCCCCCCTCCCTCTCCTGCCTGTCGCAGCGTTGCCTGCTTCGTCTTAGTCTTCTTCAGATAAGTCTGCTGCTGCTGCTGCTGCTGCTCCTCCTCCTCATGCTCTCGCCGCTTCTTCGAAGCAACAGGCAGGATCGGACTTTCTTCTGCTAATGAGCCCCTTCCAGTCTCACAGCCTTCCCTGTTCCTCAAGGGAAGCAGAGTGAGTGCGTTCCTCCTTTCACTCACTCCACCTCCCCCATTCTCCCTGGTCATAGTTAAACAGTCCTCCCTCCTCACATTCAGTGCAGCTTCTTTTCTCTTCGCACCACAACTCGCCCTCCCTTCGCCCCCCTGGCTTCCCTTCTGGCCCACTCGACTGTTCACCACCACACTCTTCACATATGCCGCCTCCGCAACCCGTTTGGCCTGCTTCTGTACAAAATCTTTCTTCTTTAGATCCCCCTTCTCACTATCCTTCTTCTCGAGCTCTATAATACCATTAATACCATTACCCATCCTTTTGCCAGGTAGGGCTCCTCCTCCTCTATTTACATGCTGCTTGTCATCCACATCAGCAGCAATTCGCTTCCCGTTCCTTCTGCCTGCACCAGAGTTTTCAGTTGTCTGAAAACTCTTCCCATTCAGTCTCTTCACGAAAGCCCTGTCATCAGTCGACAGCTTTGACTCGTCTGCCAAGCTACCTTCCCTGTTTTGGAACAACTCTCTCTTATCCACATTCGCAACCCCTTTCCCTCCATCTGCATTCCTCTTGACTCTATCTGCACCGCTCTTCGCTCCATCTACACCGCTCTTCCCTCCATATGCACCACTCTTCCCTCCATCTTCACCGCTCTTCCCTCCATCTGTATCCCCCCGCAGAGCCCATCGCCTCCCCTTCCGTCCACTGGCTTCATCCATTCCCCCCTTATCCACCATCACCTCCTCCTCCCAGCCCCATTCCTCCTCTTCCTCCTTTTCCCTTCTTCCCCCTTCCCACCCCTCCTCCTCCTCCATCTTCTCCCTACCCTCCTCCTTCACCTCAATCTCCTCTTCATTTCCCACCGCCAATCCCCACTCCTCCCCCTCCTCATCCTTCTCGTCCGAAACTCCCGCCCTCAACTCACATGTCTTCAACACTGCACCATCCGTGCCTCTTTTCTCCCACTGCTCCCCTAAGCGCTCCTCTGCTTCCGCTGATTTCCTCGCTTCCCCTGATTCCCCCGGCTCTGTCACATGAACCGTGCGCTCGTCTTTACCCTCCTCTTTCACCTCCTCGACTTCCTCCTCTTCTACTTCCACCCCCTCCCCCTCCTCCTCATCCTCCCCACCATCCCTCTTCTCCTCCTTCTCCTTCCCCACCCCCTTCTCCTCCCCTTCCACTCCCACCTCCGCCCCTCTCACCTCCTCCAACAATCCGCACCCATACTCCCCGCCACACCGCATCACCTCGCCCCTCAGCTCCTCCTCCCACGCGTCCAGCCCCCACCACCCCGCACCATCACCGCCTGCATGCTCTGCATACCACCCGAGCTCCTCACACTCCCCATGCCCATCATACTCCCCATCCCCACCAAAGTCCCCATGCCCATACAAGCCTCTGTACTCATCCGCTCCACACTCCTTCCCTAACCCATTCTCACACTCCTTTCCCCCCCAGTCTCTCCCCTCACAACAAGTATCAATATCACATCCTCCCTTACAGTCCTCGTTACACTCTTGATCCTTCTCTTTACAGGGTTTCCCATTACGGCCCCGCTCCTTACAATCACGCGCATCCATACCCTTCCCACCCACACCCTTCTCCTCCCTCCCTGCAGACACGCCCGTCAGTCTCCATCCTCTTTGCCCTAAAGCAGCCGTTGCTCCATCCTCGCCCACCGGCTTGTCTATATCTACTGAGGCCTCAGGACTATCAGCATCCCCTAACTCATCTGGCTGGCACGCATCCCCTGAGGCATCTGCTAGCAAAGCCTTGCGCTCACCGTTCCTCCCTCGCCCTCTTCCCCCGCGCACCCCTCTTCCTCTGGCTCCCCTCCCTGCCCCTCCTCCTTCTCTTCCCGGCCCCACTGTCCCTGCAGCTGTTGCCGCTGCAGCTGCTGCTGCTGCTACTGCTTTTTTTGCTACTCCTACTGCTCCTCCTGCTTCTCCTGTTGCTGTCTTTCGCAACAACCTTTTTCCACCCTCGGCTGCACCACTAGCAGATTCGCCTCGTCCCCTGCCCCTGTTCCGCCCTCCCCCTCCTCTTCCTACCCCTCTCCCTCTCCCTCTCCCCACCCCTATCCCCTTGCCACCAAAACTGCCTCTGCCCCTTCCCACCTTCCCTCCCCTTCCCCCTCTCCTCCCTGCCGCCCCTCTCCACTCTGCTTTCTCCCAGTCCACGTCATCACTCGCCTCATCCACGTCATCACTCTCCTCTGATGAGCTGGACGGCTCCTCATCGCTCTTAAAAACGTTGACCTGTGACCTGCCTCTCGGTCTCCCTCCACCCTTCACATCTCCTCCCACTGCGCCTCCCGCTGCTGCCCCACCTGCCCCTCCCCGTGCTCCCACTCCCCTCGTCTCCTCTTTCCCCCCAACTCCCCTTCCTTCTCCTCGAGTCCCTAACCCTCTTTCTTCCCCCTGTGCTCTCTCATACAAACCTCCCTCTTCTCCTCCCTCTGCTCTAAGCAGTTCAGAAGGAATCATGCTAGAAGAAGACGCCCTAACGAGGCCTTTTCCTTGTCTGCTTCTGGGGGAGGTGACATCACTACCTGCCATAACCTTGCCACTGTTGCCACCTGGTATTCCAGGTATATTATCAGGTGCTTCTACAGCATTATTGGGCCTCCCTCTGCTGTCAGGTTGCTCTGATGCCGCGAGCCCCATGCCCAGGCTATCTCTTAGCACCACGTTCGGGGCGACTTTAGCCAGAGAAACGTCACTTTCAGTGCCTGCAAATGCCCCCCTGCTCTTTTCCGGCACCTTTCTATCAGGCTTCACCCAGACCTTGAAGCTAGGCTCGGCAGTGAGCGTGGGTCCGAGCCTGGTCCGGGGGGAAAGAGGGGACGGATCTTGCACTTGACCTTGTCCCTTGGAGCGCATTCGGGGAGTGAGAACGGGTGGGCTTCTGAGGCCTGGAGAATGGGATGGTGAGCGGCCAAGATGCTGAGGCGAAGAGAGGGGTACCTGTGCTGTGACTGGGCTGGATACACGGTGAAACGTCAGTGGAGAGAGAGTAAGTTGAGGGGAAGTTAGTGGGGAGGAATTCAGTGGAGGGTGAGGCAGACGTTGGGAGGATGTCAATGGGGGAGGGGTCACTCTTGGGGTTAAGTCAGGAGTTGCAAGGAGGGAGGCAGAATGTACACTGATAGGAGCAGCATCGGCAGCAGGCTGGACTTTCTTGCTGCCAATGCAACTAGCTGTAGCAGCGGGAGCTGCAGCAGCAGCTGTGGTAGCAGTTGCAGTGGCAGCAGCAGTGGCAGCAGCAAAGTCAGCAGCGGCGGCAGCAGGACGTGATGACAATAGTTCGAGCATCAGTCTCAGAAGTTGGCCCAGCGTTTTCAAACGTTCGGTTTGGCTCGGGCCAGAAAGAACAGAATTCGGAGGAGCTGTAGCATTGGCGACTGTAGCATGGGGGAATGTAGCAGGGAGGGCTGTAGCGGGGGGTGATGTTGCATGGGATGGCTGAAAGCAGTGAATTCTTGATGGGTTCCCTCCTCCAATCAAGCCAGAATTTACTGCTCGGAAGGATGATGCCATATGTGTGTCTACATGACGTCCGGCTGCTGATGCAGCAGCTACTGTTGCTGGTAATGCTGCCTTCGGTGTTGCTGCTGATGCTGCTGCTGCTGCTTGCGAGATCTGTGTTGACTTAGCATGCGGTAATGCTGCATGCGTTGGTGGAACGGCACATGTTACCGGCGGTGTGTCGTGCGTCCGCGATGCTGGAGCGAGGAGCGAGCAGGTGTTCTCGCTGACCCACGACCGGTAATGCTCGATGATGGCAACCAAGTCCTGAAAAGAAAACAGACAATGGGGAAACGCACCAGACAGACTGAAATCCACGGCCCCCACTTCCCCCAGGACAAAGAAACCTCTAGGTCACCAGAAACCACTCTAGGGCAGATTCCACTACACAGAATGGTATTACAGGCTTCGTTATACTCACAGGGTCCAGCCCCCTGTAGTGTTCTTCAATCGCAGCAAGCGGGGTCGTGGCCGCGGCTGCGAGTGCGTGCTTGTACACGTCTTCAGTCACGCCGTAACATCCCTTGCCGAAGCGGTAACCCCACCGGCCGTACCACGAGTGGCCGTAGGCCAGCCCATGCAACAGACGCAGGTCCAGACCCAGCTTCTTGGACATGTCCATGCATGTCACCTCCCTGTAGGGCGGAGAACGAAACATTGGGACGATGAACAAATTGTGATGTAAACAGCCTCAGAGTCTCAGCCTCAAGACACGCAGGTCCAGACCCAGCTTCTTGGACATGTCCATGCATGTCACCTCCCTGTAGGGCGGTGACAAATGATTGGAATGGTAATGGTTGAGATGCCATCATGAAAAGTCCATGCATGTCACCTCCCTGTAGGACGTTGAAGAACTACTGGAGTGGGTTGATATGTCAGTCGCCTCAGCCTCAAGCCACGCAGCTTTTTTAAAATGTCCATCACCGACAGACCATGCATGTCACCTCCTTGTGGGGCAGGGAGCACATGAGAAAACACCATTCCTGCTCAGTGCTCACCTGGCGTTGAGCATGGTGCAAATGCGGTCCCACAGGCCCATCAGCTGCCGCCCAGTGACAAGGCGCGAGCCGCGTTCTCGGCCGTTGATTCGTAGGAGGTGGCCAAATCCGTTGGTGTGAATCACTCCATGCAGCAGATGCGTCTGAGACTCCAATAAGGTCCCTCGCACTGCATCATGCCCACATGCAGTGCACCTGGACAAGCCACGGGGCAATGGAACATACGATGCAATAGCAGAGAGACAATGGAACAAAAAATGGAGTTACTACTTCTTCTCGTTCGCCTTAGAATCTACACTGACCATTCGGCATTGGAGGTCAACAGAAACTCACCGCTTGGCGTTAGAGGCGATGACGGCGCTGCAGTTAGGGCAGAGCTTGCGGCCCTTGCCGATGCCCTGGCTGTTGTTCTCGTCCACGTCAGCCACGAGCGGAATGATGAAATGGTAGCGGTGTACCGACACCGGGTGGTGACTCCACCCTGCACACCCGCACGTGGTAACGTGGCGTACACGCACACAGGAACAAGTTTTGAATCAACTCAAAACTCGTGCACAGATACCGGGTGGTGACTCCACCCTGCACACCCGCACACGGAAACACACACAAACAAGCACGCTGCAAGCTCGCACACACACTATTTCTCGCTATCGCGACTCTGCACGACAGTAGAGCACACCCGTTGCGCCTTCGCCATGGAACACATGCTGGCACATAGTCCTTTCGCGTTGCTTACCACACGCTTATCACGGTGCCTCCGGGCCTAGGGTAGAAAGTCGCACATACTTTGCTCCAATGGAATGACGTCCCTAACTTCTAACTACTAGGCGTAACGGTTCAGGCGACTTATGATCGACTAAAAAAAGGTGTCTAACTTCTAAATACTAGGCGCACCTGCCACGCGGCAGTTGTCGCAGTGTGCGCGGCCCGAGGCTTGCACGTTCTCTTCGAGTACACGTAAGCCGATGCGGTGGCCCTTGTCGTCTTGCAGGCGAATCGTCCACGAAGCGACACCCTCGATGTTACACGAATCAGGCTCCGCGAAATCGCGAATCAGCTTCTGGACAAGTTGGCGAAAAGGAAATGGACCGCGAGGAAAGTCCGCGGGACACTCATTGGTGCCAAAAAGCGCGAGAGAGAAGGCCCCGTGGACCTTCCGTCGCTTGCTCGCTCTGTGCAGTACCATTGTAAGCGTAAATAATACGTTTCGGAATACAAGATGCAGAGACTATAGCGACACACACGCCATCGTCGCGCTCTAACCTGAAAGATTCTAAGCTTCACGCCACAGACTACCACTGATGAACGCAAAACGAGCAGGGAGCACGCGATTAGGGTTTCAGGGCAGGAAATGCTGAAATGCGAATCGGATGCTGTGACTTCGGCCTGTGGTTGGTTCATCCACTCGACTCGAGTCGACAATTTCAAGGGTGGCTGGGCTGCGTCCACAGCCACAGGTTGCTCAATAGGGGTAGATTGCCTCGGTGCTGGTGTAGCGCGTGAAGGAAATGGAGAGCACGCACCAATCAGCTGTTTTGCCGCCTTTGAGATTCACAGAAGCACCTCATTTGAAGGTTTGTGTTATGAGTTGTAAAAGAGAGTGCGCAGGTAAACGAATAACGAAGCTGTGACTGAATCAACAGCGAATACAATGAATGCACAGACTAATGTAGGACTACTCTAGCTAGGAGGAAACCTCGGACGAGCGAGGTTGGGTGCAGGTTTGGCGATGGGAAAGCCGAAGGCGACGTTGTCAAAATTAGAAGAAAGAAAGGGGATTGAACTAGCAAGAATGAGGATACAAATAGCAAACCCTAGAAGGGTTGTACTCGCTATAGAGCACCCCACTACAGGCTAGAACAATAAGATAATATTCTGACACACCCCCATAGCCAAAGTGGGGTGTAATCAGCAGAGCAGGCAAAGCAGTACAAGCTCAGGGTGGATCACAATGTCACCACGCATTCAGAGCACAAGGTCAAGAAGAAATAGTTTAGAGTTCACAATTATAAGCAAACCTAGTTGTAGTCACAACGGGCAAGTGAGGAGGAGGAGGGAGAGTGAGGGGAGAGGAGACAGGAGGCGACGGCTGAAGCTGCAGACACACGGGCAACAGGAGGCAGACTGGCACAGCGGCTACCGGACAGCGCCCGGACTACAGGAGTAACAGGCCCCGCGGCTCAAATAGCGGCGGACGGGCAACGGACCCACGGGCGGCTGGCACAGCTGGCTACGACTGGGCTACCGGGACAGCGCCCCGGACTACAGGTGCTGCTGACGACAAACTGGCAACCTCCGCTCATCCTCCCGCACACAGTCCCACCCCCCTGATACACACCCACTGCTACACCACTAGCTCTACTCCCACGCACCCCCCTTAAACCCTAAACCCAGTCTCCCACACAACCACCCCCCTCAGCGACAGCTGCAGCAGTGGGAGACGAAGGAGGAGGAGGAGAAAGGGAGGAAGGCACACCGACCACCCCCATACCCGCCACCCCACAGCTCGCCCCTCCCGTCGTCCGTCGTGGCGACCTGAGGGGGGCCGCTTGCGGCCCCCGAAGGAGCCGCGACGGGCGACGGGAAATGGCAGGGGGGGGGGGGGGGGGGGAGGCGGTGTGGTGAAAGGGGCCCACCACGAGCCTGGTGGGAGGGCGGGGCCGCGACAAGGGGCGGGGCCGCGACGAGCGGGGCGGGGCCGCGACGTAGGGCGGGGCCGCTTCGAGGGGCGGGGCCGCGACGTAGGGCGGGGCCGCGACAAGGGGCGGGGCCGCAACGGTCGGGGCGGGGCCGCGACGTAGGGCGGGGCCGCGACAAGGGGCGGGGCCGCGACGGTCGGGGCGGGGCCGCGACGTAGGGCGGGGCCGCTTCGAGGGGCGGGGCCGTGACGAAGGGCGGGGCCGAGCAGGTAGGGCGGGGCCGAGCCGGGCAGGCGCACGGGCGGCGACGGGTCGGGGCGGGTCCGCGACGAAGGGCGGGGCCGAGCCGGGCAGGCGCACGGGCGGCGACGGGCCGGGGCGGGGCCGCGACTTAGAGCGGGGCCGCGTCGAGCGCGCGCACGGGCGGCGACGGGCCGGGGCGGGGCCGCGACGTGGAGGAGAAGCCCGCCGCGCGCCACGGGGCGCACAGCGGGCAATGAACCGCCGCGCGCCTCGGGGCGCACGGCGGGCAGAAAACCGCCGCGCACCTCGGGGCGCACGGCGGGAGGAAAAAGTAGCAGCGGAAGCAAGGTGGGGACACACCCACAGGATCGATCCAAGGGGATCGACCTGCTCTGATAGCATGTCAAAATTAGAAGAAAGAAAGGGGATTGAACTAGCAAGAATGAGGATACAAATAGCAAACCCTAGAAGGGTTGTACTCGCTATAGAGCTCCCACTACAGGCTAGAACAATAAGATAATATTCTGACAGACGTGAGTAGCCTCGGCAGCGTTGAAATCGGCCGAACGTGCGAACTCCGAAAATCGGGTTGTACGCGAAGCAGTCAACCCCGATAAGGAATTCGGGAAAATTCCTTACACCACCCCCCCCTTTAAGAAAGGTAGTCAATGGCCGAAACACGCCGTCGCGCCAGATAATCACCAACAAGTGTCGAGGCGTCCATTGAAGCGGATGGCACCCACGTGTCGTCCTCACTGGTGCGGTCGGTCCAGCGAATTAAGAAATCCACGTGGCGTCCAGCGGCGTCAAGGCGGATTCGATGAACGAGAATCTTGGAAGGGTCAAGTGTTGGCTCCGGGACGGGGCGAGCTGTCGGGGCCGCTTGCTGACGTGCGATGTCGGTCGTGGTAGGCACGAACTTCCGAAGAAGGCTAATGTGGAACGCGTCATGTATACGCCAATCGTCGGGTAGCAACAGCTTCGCGGTGACAGGTGTCACCATCTTGAGGATTTTGAACGGTCCGCAAAATCGTGGCCGAAGTTTCGCAGGGCCGGGCAGGTTCAGGTTTTTCGTGTCGAGGAGGACTAATTGCCCAGTAGTCAAGACGAGTTCCCGGCGAAGAAGGTTGGTGTATTTGCGGGAAGTAATATTCGCTTTGCGAATTGCGTCGGCGGCTTTTTCGCGGACTTCCTGGAGTTCCGTCACGAAAGTTTGGGAACGCGGGACCGGATTGTCGAGTGTAGTTGTCGTCGGAACCGCCGGGTCCATCCCATAATTCAGGAAGAATGGGGAGTGATTAGTCGTGCTGGATGGTGCGTTGTTGAAAGCGGATTCCAGCATTGCGAGCGAGTCTTCCCATCGGGCAGGATCGGGGCAGTTTGTCCTGATTAACTGCTCCATGGTCTGGTTGGTCCGCTCTGTTTGACCGTCGGTCTGCGGGTGGTAAGTCGATGAGAACTGTAGCTTCGTGCCGTATTGCGCCCATGTCTCCTTCCAGAATTTGGATGTGAATTTTGGGTCGCGGTCACTGATGATCGCTGAAGGGATGCCCTGCAGTCGCACGACCGTCGATATGAAAAGTCGCGCAGTTTCTTCGGCTGTGATTGTCGTTCGGCATGGTGCGAAGTGCGCCATTTTCGTGAAGCGGTCGACGACGACGAGAACAGCGTCGTTGCCTGTCGGCCCAGCTGGCATCCCCGTGACAAAATCCATCGTCACTTGTTGCCACGGTCGTTCGGGTGGCTCGAGGGGTTGCAGCAATCCAGCTGGTCGCTGACGTGTCGACTTCATTGCTTGGCACACCCTGCATGAGGACACATAGCGCTGCACGTCGTTAGAGGAATCAAGCCAGTAATAGTGACTGTGCAGTAGTTTCTGTGTCTTATCGACCCCGAAATGTCCGGAGAGGTTTGAATCATGTATCTCCTGGATGAGAAGCTCACGCAGCATACGGTAAGCGGGAACCCAAATCCGGTCGGTTCCGGCTTTTAGGTAATAGTCCCCTTTCTGCGTCGTAGTCTGCTGATGGTTTCCCGTTGTGAAGAAGGGGTCTGTCGTGTAGCCGTGGATGAATAGTCCGGTAAGTAGCGGGTTCGAGTGGGTGATGAGTACTGCAGCGGATTGTACTGTCGGTCGGGTCAGGGCGTCGGCGATGTTATTAGCCCCTTTTTTGTACGTGATGCGGTAGGTGAAATGGCTCTCCATGTAGTCGAGCCATCGAATCTGTCGTGGGTTGAGGTTGGGTTGGGCTCGCAGGTACTCTAAGGATTTGTGGTCCGTGCGAACAGTGACGTCGGCGCCCACCAGGTAGCATCGCCATAGTTTAAATGCGTGTATAATGGCGAGCATCTCCTTGTCGTGGATCAGGTAGTTGCGTTCGGGTGCCTGCAGCTTGCGTGATTCGTAGGCTATCGGCTGCAACCCGTTCCCGAAATCTTGGAGGAGCACAGCTCCGATGGCAAAATCTGAGGCGTCGGTTACAACTTCGAACGGCTTCGATGGGTCGGCGATGCGCAGCACAGGAGGGGACACGAGAAATTTCTTGAGTTCCTGGAACGCCGCTTCTGCCTCCTCCCCCCACACAAAATTCTTGTCCTTGTGCAGCAGGTCGGTCAGCGGGCCGGTTATCCCCGCCATATTCGGGATAAACCTCCGGACGTAATTTACGAATCCGAGGAAACTCTGGAGCTCCGTGACGTTCGTCAGGGACTTCCACTCCTGTATGGTCTTGATTTTCGCCGGGTCGATTTTAATGCCGTCGCGCGAGATGACGTGCCCCAAAAACTCCAAGTCCTGCTTAAAAAACTCGCACTTAGAGCCCTTGGTGATGAGTCGGTTCTCCTGCAGCCGCTTAAACACTGCGTCCAGGTCACGGAGGTGCTGGTCCCTTGTCTTGCTAAAAATGAGGATATCGTCTAAGTAGACGATAACGCACCGGTCTAGAAGATCCCGAAAAACCCTGTTCATGGTCAGTTGAAAAGTTGAGGGCGCGTTCGTGAGGCCGAAAGGCATCACTGTGAATTCGTAACTCCCGTAGCGTGTACGAAACGCAGTCTTGTGACAATCGTCGGCGAAGACTCGAATTTGATGGTAACCGCCACGTAAGTCAATTTTCGAGAAATAGCGAGCGCCACGAAGTTGGTCGAGGAGGTCGTCGGTTCGTGGGATTGGGTAGCGAGACTTGATGGTGACCCTGTTCAGCGCAATACACATGCGAAGCCCGCCGTCTTTCTTCGGAGTGAACAGAATCGGTGCTGCGAAAGGAGATGTGCTGGCCCAAATGAACCCTTTTTCTAACAGTGCGTCGATTTGTCGTCGCAGCTCCTCGAGTTCCGGCTGGGTCAACCGCCACTGTGTCCGAACGGTTGGTTGCGCTCCAGGTTCTAGCTGGGTTTTGTAGTCCTCAGGTCTCTCCGGTGGCAGTCCATGTGGAAGATCGTCGGGGAAGATTTCCGGGTACCTCCGAATCAGCTCCGCTAAATCCGGGGGTACAGCTGCACACAACTTTGAGAAGAAGT